TCTTGTCCCCCCCCTGTCCGTGTGTTTTCCTTTTTGGGGGGGGGGGGGGTCTAGGTCCCCATTAACCATGATAAGTGAGGGATCACTGTACATCATGCTGCGCTGTCTCTGTTTTGTTGTATTTACTTAATTGCCAATATATATTAAGACCTTCTGAAATTCTTCACTCAAATATTCTCATCAGTGTTTTCCCAGCGGTGAACGACGGTTACCTTTTCCAGGGCTACTGAGTTCTGTCTCATCCTTGGATGTGTTCATCCGGCAACTTGATTCAGTTGAAACTGGTCGCGCTTCATCCCTCGCCCTCTGCTCCATGTTGTGGGAGTTGCTTTTCCCACATTTCAATCTACAAAAACAGAAATGTAACGTCTTAACCGTATAGTGTACAGGAAAGGCGGAGCTCATGTTCTTACCCATAGGTGTAACACTGTGGCACAGGGTAGGGGATGCGTGTCCTGGGCATCAGAATGAAGGTCCGCACAACGTGCATAATAGAGCACAAGGACAGAACGAGGAAGGAAGAACGCAATGAGATGCCTTGTTCGTGTAGAACCTGCAAGAGTAAACGATAACCTATGGTTAAAAACAGGACAGCGACTTTTAATTTCTTTTAACCACTGTGCTTAAATGATCGGTTATGAATACAGTATTTCTATATTAAAACATCATTGGAATTGTTTCTTGTGTACTGTATACTAATTCCTTGAGCTGGTGAGTTTTGCGGGTTGGCTAGCTGTAAGCTAATATGGTGTATTCGGTGCATAGTCCATCTACAGTATATCATACACTGTATGCAATTCACCTTTTGATTGGAACTATAGAAATTTGAACGACCCAATTTTTTCTAAATATTCAAATTTATTGAGATGCACCTGTCGATATGGGAACCAGAGCGCAACACACAAAGGAAAGATTCCTGATCATACTTTTTTGATTGCCACAGAGCCAGTGAATTATTCCCAATGAGCTGTTTTCATCTGGGTGGACCATTTTACCTTAATGATGAGAAACACCGATGAGGAGGAGTCAAAGGCACCACTGTAGAGGGTAATGATGGTGGAGCGACGAGCTGCAAACAGGTTGCCCACCTTTTACGATGCACAAAAACACAAATCATCGCATATTTGCTCATACGGTAGAGCAGTGTTTTTCAACCCCTGTGTGCCGCAAGACATTGTCAGGTGTGCCGCGGGAAAATATCCAATTTGTATGCCTGTGTGCCTATCGCCCAGAAAGTAATCGTGTAGTACCCTCCCATACCGCTAGGGAGCAGCAACAGCTAGCCAATTGCCTTGTGTTTCGACGAGAGACAAGCGAATTTGTGACGCATGAATGCAGGACGACGGTGAAACAATAAATATGAAAGATGAGAAAATACTTTTTTCTTTGTGTTCATTTGATTCCAATTCAAGCTGTTATAACGTCATTCTTCAATGTTAAAAACGGCTATAGTAACAATATAACACGTTCATTATTCAAACAAGCGTTTTTTGTTTTTGTTTTTTTTTTTACATTTAGCTAGTGGTGCGCCGCGAGATTTTAACAATGAAAGAAGTGTGCCTTAGCCCAAAGAAGTTTGAAAAACACTGTGGAAGAGCATTTGTTTCATGACAAACACATCGGCGTCTACCATATTCTATTTTCATTCAGGAGATTTGGAGTCGCTTGATAATTCAAACCCCCCCCCCCCCCCCCCCACCCCCCCCCACAACCTCTCCTGTTACACCACAATTATCATCCATACACCACATAATATAACTGCATGCAAATGTGCCAAGCACATCATCTGGAGCAGTTCATAATCAATATTTATCAAACAATATGACAAAAACAGACAAATGTCCATAAAATACACTATACACAGAAGAGATGGGGCTTATAAATGGGTGCGTATCAAGACAGACATGTTTTGCTCGTTGAAGCGAGCTGCAAGTGTCATGTTCTGTCGGTTTTGATTGTGTTTCAGTTCCTTGCTGGAGTGAAGGGCGTTTCCCTCCAGCAGGGGCACCTGTTCCGCCTTTCCCCATCAAGCCTTGCCAAGTACTGTATTTAAGGACTGCCAAGCTGCCCAGTGTCTTGTCGAATTAGTGACCTTGCTCGCTGTAGTGTTTCAAGTTTTTTCCAGACCTCGCGATACTCTCCATCGTCACTCTCGTTATTCATGGATTCTAGTTAGTTAGTTTTTTTTTTGTTTTTTTTCTTATTGCTCTTGATATTTGGCTTTGCGTTATTGGCTTCTTGACATTTTGTTTGTTTATTCTCGGTGTTCCCTAGTACCTTGCCTTTGCAAGCGCTCTTGTTTATGCATTGCCTCTCCTGGCTCCTTTTGCACAGCGATTTTTATTTGTACTTTGTCGGTGCGCTTTTATGTTAATAAATACTTTTTTTATCGCACATTGTCAAAGCCTGCATTTCTGGAATCCCAAAAAATGATTTGGATTGATGCAGAACCTGACAGCACGCAAGTGCTGCTTTGACCAACCAATCAGATGACGTAAAAATGCGATGTCATCAAGGGCCAGCTCCTGAGGAGGCCTAGGTGGCCACACTGTTAAGGGCTGATGTGTCATACAAGTTGTAAGTCAAGTGCTGTATTTCTACCTGCACGTTGGTCATAAGGAGCAGGATCCCCCCCACAGCAATGCAGGGCAGCGCAGGATAAAGCAGCATTGAAAGTGCTGAAAAAAAAGGTTCAATTGAATTATAATGAAGGATTTACACGTATCACATATTCACTTTTTGTTTTGGATTTCGGTGTCAATTCCCAGTACTCATGTCACATAACGATATCCACTCCGCTCCAAAAGTAAAGGGCCAAAGACTTAAATATTTAATTGCAAATCATTTCATATAAGTACATCAAGCCTGTGACCCGTTGACATGACCAAACTTTTCTTCTTTTGTAATGCTTTTACAGGCTTTCAATGCAGCTGCTTTCCATGGTTGTTTGTTTTATGGAGTCACTCCATTCAATCTCCTCTTTGGCAAGTGAAATGCCTTCTTGATTTCAGGTAAGTCCGAGTTTGACTTGGCCATTCTACTTCTTTCCCTTGAGAAATGACTTTGTTGTTTTGGTGTTTCTGTTTGTCGGCCAAAATGCTTTTGTAGACTTTGTCAGTTCACTATCTGCCTTTAGTAAATGTCAAATCTTTGTCAATGAACCTCTTTCAACGAGATGTCACAGAATTTGGCACGTGAGGTCTTGAGGAGAAACTAGTTCTCTCTGAGAATTTGTCTCATATTCAACCTTTGATGTCAAACTCAAATGTTTCTAGTCTATGACAGAAGGAATTGTCCTCACTGTTTTGATATTTTGGGAGGGGGGTGTATGTCTAGATTGGGGGTCGACAACCTGCGGCTCTGGAGCCGCATGCTTCTCTTTAGCGCCGCCCTAGCAGCTCCCTGGAGCTTTTTCCAAAATGTTTCAAAATGGAAAAAATGGGGGAGGGAAATATATTTTGTGTTTTAATATGGTATCTGTAGGTGGACAAACATGACACAAACAACATTTTCCAATGCTGTAAAATGTGCAGAATAAATAATTACATTTCAACACTTCTGTCAGCGAGGATTATGCGTCATAGCCTGCGCGTTTCTATTTGCAGGACAGGATGCCAGGCAGGTGGATGTTGTTAAAAATAACAGTGTTTCATGTACAATACACCGAAGGCACTGGCAAAGAATGGGAATCTGGAGGGCCGAGAGATGCATTTTTAAACTGTACACGTCAGCTATGATAGTTAACACGCTGCAAAAGTGCGTCCCATGCCTCATTCATCTAAGGGGCCGTTATGGCTGTTGCTCATTATGGCATGCGTGTGTAAGTGCGCGCGTGTGCGGTAACGGGTCGATCGCGAGAGGTTGGTTGATCGAAAAGTAGATATTCGGTCAAAAAAGGTTGGGCACCCCTGCTCTACAGGATGCACTGCAGGGAAATAAAAAAACAAAGCATTGAATCATGAAGGCTCATTGGGTATTTGTAGCCAACTTAGTCATTTTGATAGCAGGCTAATATAGATCTACATACAGCAAGTGTTGCCTTCATTGTAAGGCTTTTAATGTTTTGCAGCTCCAGACGTTTTTGTTTTTTTTTGGTCCAATGTGGCTCTTTCAACATTTTGGGTTGCCAACCCCTGGTCTAGATGGCCTGATTAGCTGGATTTTGATTCAGATATAACACAGAAACGTCAGTCGTGCAGCATTTCACATCATATTTCTAATAATTGTGACCACGGGACCACCATGTCGCACTATTACAGTTTTGTGTGTGTGCGTGCGCGCGCGCGCGTGGGGGGGGGGGGGGGGGGGGGCACCTACTTGCATTAGAAAAGGTCACAAGAAGGGTTCCAGTGGTGTAGAGACATCTGAAGATGAATGAAAAACATGATGTAATACAACATAAGCCCTGATTTTGGGGCGGTTGTCAAAAAACTGGAAGAGGAAACATTTAATTCCAAATTTGCTCCAAATTAGCCAGTTGTTTACAGTGTACCATTCACTGACCAAAAGTTCTGTCAAATGCACTCTATTAACCTCTTGCTCTTTTTATTATGCATTTTATCTTTTTATTTTACATTTTATACATACCAGTTTGCGATTGATTTGCGACCGTTCCTGTGTGGATCCCAATTTCAGCTGGGATCCTCATGAGGATAAGTAATATGGAAAATAAATGGGATAGAGTGGAACCATTGCAATTGTTGTTGTGTCAATTGCATGGGTTTCTCCACCCTTCATTGATTTTGTTTTTCTGAATAAGGGATCACATCTAGGGTTGTCACGTTTATCCTGACAATTTGAAATGATATAAATGTGCAAATGAAATTAATTTGTTGGTAGATTTTTGTTTCAGGTAAGTCAATGAGGCTAATTCTGTAAATTGTCAGGTCAACCTGGTCTTAATCGAATACGGTCCCTGCAAAAACCGTTCCAACGTAAAGAGGAAAAACTCACATTGCCAGCAGTCTGGTGACCATTGTGCCAAATCGATCAAAGAGGAAGCCGCAAAATACAATCATGAAGTTGTTGAGGAAAGATGCAATGGTGAAGACCAGTGCAAACTTCTCATCCTGACGACTGCAGTCTGCAAAGAAGAGACGCAGAACAAAAGGACATTAGGTTTCCCTCGGAAGCAGCAGTGACCCCAAAGATGGGAACTTGGGCTGGAAAAAAAAAAGTCCACCAACTCGGTTGTGTTGACCACAAAAATGGGTCGAAAAACAAAAATGTCTGTCTCAAAATTAAATTTATTTATTTATTATTTTTATTTTTACACAGAAACACCAGATTGATGAAAGATATTTTGTGGCAAATATTCCCTCATTTTCTCAGGTGATGCCTGCAAATGTTCCAAAAAAAAAAAAAAGCTGGGACAGGAGAGGTTGAGGCGTCCGCTTGGGAACAGGTTCATTGGAAACAGGTAAGTGTCACGATGGGGTCGAAAAGGATTATCCTGTGTGAGCAAATAGCCCGACAGTTTAAGAATAACATTTCTCAACATACAATTGCGAGGAATTCCGCTATTTCATCATTTATGGTCCATAATATCAAAAGATTCAGGGAATCTGGACAAAGCTCTGCACTTGAGCTGCAAAGATGATAACCAACATCGACTGACTGTGACCGTGACCATGGCAAGTGAAATCCATTGATCAACAACACCCAGACATGCCGCCAGCTTCTCTGGGCGAAAGCTCATCTGAGATGGACTGCTCACAAGTCAAAAGTGATGTTTATTATTTTAATGGCTGTAAAACAGTGTGTGAACAGGAAGTGAATTAGAAGGGGGCTATATTCAGGGTTGCAACTGCCTCATTTGCGTGCTCTGTTACGGCACCTCATGCTGTCCTTCCCTTTCTCATTTCACATACTCGTTCACAAGCACTTTTATTTATTCCTTAATTAGTTTTATCCGAACAGATTCTCAGGGTGAGTTAATGTTGAAAGGCCGCAGGTTGTTCCCCACAAGCACATGCAAAAAAACAAAAAAAGGGGTCAATGCCTACCGCTCCTCAGCAAGTCGTAGGCGCACAACCCTGGCCGATTACCCACCCCAAAGTTCACCGAACATTAGTTCCTTTGTTTTATTGGAGCTTTTTGTCGACCGTGGGGGGACAGCTCTGGACTATTATGAATCTTAAAAATACGGTATACAGAAACCAAATTGTGTGATTTGATTTGATTGATGGCTGGCTACTCTAACCTGCTGAGGCCTAACTGAAAATAATGTTAGGTCCGCAGGCTGACGTGATGAAGAGTCACATGCATTTTTCAAAGTGAATCTGCCAGAGTTTTTTTTTTTTTTTTAGGTGTGGCATGACATGTCTGTACATATTTTTAAATAACAAGAGTCGAACGAGTACACTGGGGAGACCGACACACACACAGAATAGCAAGAAAGATGATGATGTGATTTGAACATTTCTTACAGTTTCTTAGGAAAACACATGAGCCACAAAACATTTTTGACACCTAAAATACCAGTACGCAACATGAACAGACTCCACCCACCCTCACCTCCCATTCTAATGCTAACCTGGTCCGCAGTGTTGTTACCTCCTGAATTGACTATTGTAACTCCATCACAAGTCTTTACATGCGCCCCAACTGATCCAGAACTCCGCTGCACGCCTCATTACCCAAAGCGCCTCTTCCCATCTCAATCACTCCCATCCTCCAAGTGCTTCACTGGCTTCCGGTTCACCAGAGAATCCACTTCAGAGTCTTGTTTTACACCTTTAAGGCCATCACCCCTCCATATTGGTCTGAACTCCTCCATATCACTACTTCAGCCCGCGCCCTTCGATCCTCCTCCATTTATCTGACTGCACCCTTTGCTGGTTTTCAGTAGCACGGGGAGCAAAGCTTTCAGCCGTTCCGCTCCGCAGCTCTGGAGCCCTCTGCCTCCTGACCTCCACAATTTGGACTCACATTATATTTAAATCCACACTCAAATCATCTGTTCAGTAGTACATACACCACTTCAATGCCCCCGTATTTATAATCTATTTATTTCTGTTTGATTGATGATCAGTGTCCTTGAGGGTCTTCAAAGGTACTTACAAACAAAATGTAGTATTATTATTATTAGTAGTAGGAGTATTATTATTAAAATGTAGATGATTCCACTTTTCTTTTTTTGCTGCTGCACACACCGCCACGAGCAGCCCTTTTCCCTGCGATACGTCAGTACACATCGCTAAAAAGTCACTGTCGAATTCCGAATTGAAATAATAATCAACATTAGTCACATATGATCAAACTGTTATTTGTTTGGAATGTCAGTCACCCACCAAAACTTATGAACTGAGGTATAAACAAAAACAACACATTTACACGTATACGGTAATTATGTAACATGCAAATGAAGTTTACATTTAAAATAGGTAGTGTATACAGTATACTGTACATATATGTGGAGTTTTCCTGTGCCTGCGTGGGTTTTCTCCGGGTACTCCGGTGTCCTCCCACATTCCAAAAACATGCATGACAGGATGATTGAACACTCTAAATTGTCCCGAGGTATGATTGTGAATGTGGATGGTTGTTCATCTATGTGTGCCCAGCGATTGGCTGGCAACCGGTGCAGGGTGTACCCCACCTACTGCCCGAAGACAGCTGGGATAGGCTCCAGCACCCTCGCAACCCCTGTGAGGAAAAAAGGTGGATCGGAAAATGGGCGAATGAATAAAGAATTACACCATTCTTCAAATCACTTGGTTTTGGAGGGATTCTTTCTCATGCAAATACAAAATAGTTTTTTGTGTTACCATGATGATGGGACATAACGAGGCCAAAGAGAGCGGATACCAGAGCACAGCAAATTTGTCACAATATTTAATGACTCCTCTCATGACTATTTTTTATATACCGTACATAGAAATGATGAGCAACAAATCTAGTGACTTTTTGTGGTTGTCAGATATTACTATTTTTGGACACTACTGGAGAGTCTGCAATTCCCTCATGATGTAGATGTTTTCACCTTCATGTTCGGACTGCAAATATATGGCACTTGCGCAAAATGTCTTTGTTCACAATATAGATGGGTCTCTTACCTTCAACAGTTGTACCATTGTTGTCTGGACCATTGAAACACAGGTGACTGAAGTACCCATCCTCCTTCAACACAAACACCAGGGAGGCATACCCAAACACGACACCAGAAAAGAAGAGACACTCGAGCATCCCAGACGCTAAGGTCAGCCAGTAGAGCAGCCTCACACTCGTCTTGTGACTCTGCATGCTTCAAGTTTTTCCCCTCAAGATGCCTTGCTGAACTTTAATTTTTTTCCCACACTTTCTTCGGAACACTGTATACTTCCTTTGATTTGGAATCCTCACATAAATCCAAATTTCTACAACACAGACAGAAGACAAAGAGATATGCATTACAGCCCAAACACCACAAACAAGTCTTTTTCCCCTCTCTTTAAATGTGCAGAACAGAAAATTTATATTTAAAATCAAATTATTATTTTTTCAAACAAATTAAAATTATGAACGATGTACTGTACTAGTGAAATGCACATAAAAACATTGGCAGTGTTCGAATGAAAAAAAAAAAAAGAAATCATGAGAGCAATATTCATAAGACAAAGAACAGTGCAAAATACAGTGAACCCCGGCTATTCGCTGAGGATGTGGACCGGGCTGGCAGGCAAATTGCAGAAATCAGTCCATAATTTATATATGGTTGTGTAATAATATAAATAGATCATTTTTCAATGCAAAAGAAAAGGAAGAGATCTACATCTCATCAAGTACTTATGTGTACTGTACTTATCTATTTATACACCTTTCTGTATATATATATATATATATATATATATAAATTTTGCGAGAATCTTGATTGTATTGAATCATAATTACCTTGCAGTTTCCTCGACGTCCAAACATCGTTCTTCGCAGCTCAGTGACGCGATCGGCGCCTTCGAGCAGCAACTCTGCACAGTCGGGTTGAGCGTGTGGAGCGGGGCGGGAATAAACATGCTTTCATTTCAGTTTTATGAGAGTGACGTGTTCGTGAACGAACAGTATCTGACAAATAACTGTATTCACACGGCAAATGCCACACCGTGAAATTCTGTATACCTTGCACAATGTAATATTACATCCAATCAGAAGTTAATCAGGCATAACATTCAACTATTAAAACTATTTTCCTGCCAAGGGATCCAAGTAAATACATATAATTTGATATATTAATCAATACATGTTGAGTTGCTTTTTCTTATAAATCAGTTACTTTGAAAATGCATGGTTAAAAATACTGTGCAGTATTTTAGCATTAAAAACACAATTACACCAAAATGCTTAATTCACCACTATGTAGAAGCTCATTGATAGATAGGTTGGGTCGCATTCAAATGTAGTCTGACATTTCAAAGTCAGACAGAATAAACTCCATCACTGCATGAAACGGTAATAGTGTAACTGCAAGTACCTAAAAAAAGTGCTATCTAGGAAAAAAGACGATGATGATGGTAAAATCACTTTGCTATTTGTTTAATGATGATTGTATTGTATTGGGGCGGCACGTGGTTAGTAGATCCACCTCACAGTGCAGAAGTTGTGGGTTCGAATCCAGCCCAGGTCTTTCTGTGTGGAGTTTGCATGTGCTTCCCGTGCCTGCGTGGGTTTTTTCCCAGATACTCCGGTTTCCTCCCATATTTCAAAAACATGCATGGCAGGGTTAATGAAACACTCCAAGTTGTCCCTGTGTGTGATTGTGAGTCTGAATGGTTGGTTGTGTATGGCTGGCAACCAGTTCAGGTTGTACCCCGCCTGATATCTCAAGACAGGTGGGATAAGTTCCAGCAGATCAGATAATGGAAGGATGGCTGTATTGTATAGTACGTGATGATGACACGGGACGCCACGTTAATCTTGCAAGTGATGAACAGCCAGCTCACAGTAACCTTAACTCCTCTGATTCGCTTGTTGCCAGTGATGTCAACACTATTTATGGATTTATTTATTTATATTCAATCATCTATTATATGTATATACTTATTACCGGTACTTCATTATCTTAATGGTCTGCTTCTTATCCACCGCCTAATTTACCTGGCAACAGTTCGAATAAAGGGAGTCCCAGCAATTGTTTTTTCCACTTAAAGCACTAGTTTCGCCACGGTATAGTTCAAAACAAGAAAAATAGGCTGCTGTTATATATAAAGCCTCCATATTGTGCCTTTACTATTGGTCTGATGTACTTTTATTTGTTTACCCGGCGCTTTCAATCTTATGTATTTTCAAAGACTCTTGCTCTGTTTTAAATTTGTCACAGCACTCATTAACACAATATTATCTGGTCTCAAATCAACAATTCACCACAAACGTCCCCAGGCAAAATGCAAGAAAAAGACCAGTGTTCATCACATGTTTGTTCCTGCATCAATTATACCATGAATAATTCACTGTAACCAGGGGCAGTCGAACCATTTTTGGCCTGCTAATGATTTTCTCTTTTGATCATGTGTTGCTTTTACACCCTGTAATTTTTGCACTGCGTGGTGCCTACAGACCCATCCCCAGACAGACTTAAGGAGGGTACGTGAAATGCATGGGAGGGTCTGTTATTAATACAATACAGATAGTAGTTAGTTTGCTCCATGCAGCACTGCCCCTCTTAGTCACTATTCTTGAACGGCGTCCATTGCAACAACAGCTGTCAAGAATGACCACAGACAACACTTAGTTTACATGACATAGATGTGATCTGAAGTAAGTCGACGCCGCAGCCAGATATGGCAAAGTGAAGCCATTTGTGAAGATGCCTCGTTCACTTGCTCCTTGGAGATGTCTCATCAAGCCAAAACACATTGTATTAATGGCGAAACATTTTATTTTATTGTACCATATCATTCTTACTCAATTTGTTGTGTACATTATATTCAGATTTTATGGATACGACTAAGGCCACATCCAATATGGTGGATGCATTGATATATCACGTTGAACGGGTCATCCGGTTCAACGGGTGTCGCCCGCAGAAATAAAAAGAAAAGGAATCTTCATTCTGGATGTCCAAAGGGTTTTTAACTCCTGTGGTTTCTTTTATGAAACTGATTCAAATGAATCTTTGTTTGCCGACGCTAATATAGCATCTCCCTCCTTACTTTCCATCCTTTGATTGTGACAAGGGAAACATAATGTGCAACATTGACATCACTATGTATCCACACATCAGACTCTGCACAGACTAGAACAATAAACCCATGAGGAAAAGGCTTCATCCATCAAAAACTAAATATTGGGTCGATTATCGTGATATTTTTAGTGGTTGGTGTGGGCATTAGTCGAGATATCCACATACATTTTGGTGGTGAATGATTGCAATTTGCTGACATATTAGGTGACGTAAGCTTTTTTTATGCTTGTGTTGAGTGAGACCAGAGGTCATCAGCCCTTTTGAAGCTAAGAGCTACTTGAGTACTGATTAATGCAAAGGGCTACCATGTTGAGACTTCTGAAGTACAGGGTGACCCAAAAAGATGCGTACCCATATTTTATTAGATAAAAAATCCATTTTTTAACGAATGTCTTTTCTGTTGCAGGAACTGAAAACTGCCATCACAGCAAAAATAAGAGCCATCCCGAAAGAGGAGTGTGTAAAAGTGATTGACAACTTTGTCAGACGAGTACAGGTTTGCTTGCAACGGAATGGTGGACATTTGGAACACATCTTGGGAAAGCCATAAATTGACTAAAAATTGACAGAAATAGCTGAAACTCTGGTGAATGGTCTTCCATAAACTGAATAATGTGTGGTTGTAATTTGAAATAAATAGCTTTTTAATCAAAGTCACAATTGAAATTTTCATGGGTACGCATCTTTTTGGGTCACCCTGTATCAGCTTCGCTCAAATTACCTTTAATTACATTATTATATATATGAAAACACTCCTCATTTTAATCATTCCTCAGAATAATTCAGAAACATAAATATCAATATTCCAATACCAATGTTTACATTTTCAAAAGATCACTTCTAGAACATGCCGAAAGGATATCTTATGGTCCCATCAGTGTTGAGCTATTTTTAGAACAGGTTACTCATATGGTCCTTTGGTCCCGCAGGCACCATGGTGATGACCCCTGAGCTAGACTGTCCCATGTGCCAGTCTCCCACAGTGTCATTGGCTTTCATTATTTCCAAATGCATACATATTTTCAAATCACAATACCACACAAAAAACCCTTGCAGATTCACTTTGAAAAATGTGCAGGACTCTTGCACGACGGCATTGACTTATTACTGTATAAGGCTTCCCATCAATCGAACAATATTAATCACGATTATTTCTTTGCATTTTAATGTCTTATTGAGGATAAAAATCAACAACTAACCAACTCCAAATAGCTACTGTAGCGTTGGTTGAAACAATAATCTCACAGTCCTTTACAGCTACTATGATAAAAAGAAATCATTTTTAATAACAGCTACTAAAAATATATATTTTTTGCTAAATGTTTTTGCTCTCTTGCAGGTGTACCAGCAAGACCAACACAAAAACACAGCAAAGCCAGAATATTTTTTGAGCAGATGCACTGATCTTGGTTTTGGGGGACGGAGGTTGGTCAGAAGGGAAGAAGTTTACTTTGAGCATATTGCATTGAGTACACATACTCCAAAAGTTGTTCCTGCGTTCATGATGGACTGCGGCTCATTCACACTCGCGTACAAATTTGGAATACGTCACCGGCTTTGCAACGGAACTCCGTTGTTACGACGTCAACAACGAGAACCTTACTTTAGAACAGTACTGTAATGTAGTAGATTGTAGCGGATTCACAACCATACGACTGTACTTTACAAAAGGGGGCATCTTGTGGACAAATAGAGAACAGCAATTGAAAGTCTGCCTCACAGACAAAATATTTGCATTGAATTCATGGATATAGATTGACTGCACCACTGTGGGTGATTACATAAAATTGCTAACATTTAAAAATCTTGTATTTCATCAACAGTAATCGTAAGTAAGTTGTAGCAAAACATAAATAATAATAATACAAAACGTGTAAGTAGAATTCTCTTTCTGTAGTAACATGTATGTTAATTGACAGACTCTGTGCAAGTGGATATATTGAATGACAGGCATCACATTCACTTCATTCAAGTGAACTGATCTGGTCATGTGCGCAGGGCTGGTGAAAATGTTTACCATAAGCTTTCCTCATGTTATCTACAGGTTCGTATTAAATTGTAAATTTGGTTATGTATTGTTGTAAAACACTAGATGTGAGCTGTACAGTAATCCCTCGTTTATTGCAGTTAACGGGGACCAAAACCACCCGCGATAAACGAACCGCGAAGCAGCAAGGGATCACTGTATAAACATTCTTTTTGAGACTTGGGGCCCTGCAATTGGCTGGCAACCAGTTCAGGGTGTAACCCGCCTACTGCACCAAGACAGCTGAGATAGACTCCAGCACCCTTTTGAGGATAAGCGGATTACAAAATGTATGGACTTGGCACTGGCCTGCGGTCAGATGCTTGCTCGCTTAAAACCAGGAAATTGGCGTGTGCAGTGGATCTCTCCGTTGGGTTGGCTCATTTATTGAAACCGAAATGACAATCTCAAAATGACAACAATAACAAAACTCCAAACTACCTTGCAATCATTCACAAAAGAATGTCATTTCTAATAGATTTCATCCGATTGCAAACTTCTCATTACATGTCTCAAGTGTCACAGTGAATCTTTGCAAATGGTTATTTACAAGTACAGTACCCTACAATTGGCACAATGAGCCCACGTTCAGCACATTTCCCAAATAAAGAGATCCTGCTGATCTACACATATGTGTTGATTATCAGTCTAATGGTTGTTGTCTCTCCTAAACATGTGACCGTGATTTCATTGTGTAAGTCATGATGTGCAGAATAGTCTGTTCAATTGTCAAAATTAGTCAAGAACATAATATCATGAAGACTATATATGAATTCTTGGAACGTTTGATAAACGTTCACAGAATGGAGCTACTATCACTGTAGTACCAAGTGGAGAGTTGAGGATTTTTTTTTTTTCCTGCTTGGACGTAGAAATTGGATGAACATGGGACTGAGGACCAGAGGTTTCTGCTCCATGCAATGAATGCTGCATGCGAGGAAATTGCAGATCGTCCGTGTAGGGCCTACGCTGTAGGCAATGGGTTGAGACATTGGCGCTGTTTCTTTGTTTGCTGCATCGCAATGCAAAATGTTTGCTGCAATGTGGATGAAAATCTATGGCCAGGAGGATGAGGATTGTGGCCAGCAGAGGAAGGGTGATGACAGCAACAAGTCTTACTGAAATTGTGAAACTTTATTCACAGCACTGACAGCAGTTACCATTGTTACTAAGAGTATCTCCAAGTCGCAATATTTAATAACAAAAGCATCAATTATTAATACATGACTATAAACACAACTGTAATGAGTATCCATCTATCACACAGTGCTGGAGCCTCTCCCACCCGTCTTCGGTTGAACCAGTTGACAGCCAATCGCAGGTCACACTTAGACGAACAACCATCCACGCTTACACTCACACCTTGGGACAATTTAGAGTGTTCCATTAACCTGCCGTACATGTTTTTGGAATGTGGGAGGAAACCGGAGTACCCAGAGAAAACCCACGCAGGTCCGGGGAGAAAATGCAAACTCCACACTGGGAGGCCGGAGCTGGAATTGAACCCGGTACATCTGCACTGTGAGGTTGACACACTATCCACCGGACCACCGGGCCACCCACAGCCAAATCAATTTTGGAAAAAGTCAGGTCAATTGTATCAAGTCTCCACTAATTGCTCTATATTTCAGATGACTCAATCAATAATTACCATTATCCATCCATGTTAGCAAATTATAGACCCCTCTGAAAACATGAAATCAAAGCTCTGGAAAGTGCTCTGTTACAGCTGCAGCTGTGGTGAAAGCGCAATATAAATAAAGATGTGTTGCATTGTATTTTAATGTTTTTATCGAACAATTCAAAATGAATGGATTTACAGTATATGCATTTTATTTAATAACATTTGTATTCGTTTTATAAATTATTTGTTTATTTTGAACATATTAAAATACGAGAATGACTTTTTATGTTATGCCTTCGAAATATAAAATAAATACTATGCAACCCCAAAACAATTGAAGTCCTTTTCCTCTCGAACTGCCTTTTTTAGAGGCCGCCACACGAGGGCAGTATTGGAACATTTATAGCGTTACATTACACTGGTAAACTACAGCATTTCGAAACAAAGTCTGATAATATAGCTCGTATCAAAGTGCGAAATGAACCATTGATAAAGTAGAAATATGTCATGTTGTGAAAAGTGAGACGCTGTTATAATATACTGTATATAAATGTTAAAACCCTTCGCAAATCTGGATTGCCTTCCGCTGGTTTTAGCGCAACACCCCGCTTCCGCCCCGCCGCCTCTTGCTCTCCCCAGCAGAGGAGGAAGAGCCCTCAGCATTCAGCCCAGTCAAGTGAACAACAAGCCTGGCACAGAGGAAATTGTATAGGTGGGTGTTTTGTCTGCTCTGAATTTGAACGCTTACCCAGCGTTGGTCACTTTCTATGCTGTGTTTTGCTATACTGCGGCACTTTTTTTCGTCTTCTGTTTTTTTATGTTTTCGCTGCGCACTGTCGGAGCTCACTTATTCGCGCAGACTGCGGGTCTAGATTTTTGGACTGTGTGTTGAGTGCATTCGGCTAGGCGAGGCCTGAAACCTCATCGCCAACACTTATGGACTTCTAAAAACAAGCCTAACTCTTCCAGCAAACGGTAATGGTCTCTGTTTTTGTGATACATGTCAATTAGGCCTGCTTGGAACGCGTTGGCACGAGAAAGAAAACGTATTTTATTCGTGACGTTGTTTTCCTTGGAACGTAACGTTAGCCTGCTAGCCACAGCAGCTCAAGGGAGCATAGCATGGAAGTTTCGTGAGCTCCGCTACGATCAGCAGTGTTCGTTTCTGTCACTGAACTCACGTTTTCCTTCAACCAGTGATTACGCACAGTTTGTGTGGAAAGGTTAAATAGCGATCTTACACCAAGCGAAATATCTGTAGTACTTTGTGACCAATATGATTTGTGTCACTCACGCCTTCAATATATAATCTTTTATTTTGATTACTTGACACATCGACACACGGCAACTTTTGTCAGACTTGTGTCAAATTTGAACTTATCGTAAGTGAGAGTTGTGTGTGAAAGAATAACCAAGAGGACACGGAAGTTACTGGCCAGCCCACAGCATTGGCGATTGTAAAGTTCGAGGTCAAAGTCCAGTTTCGGTTGTCTTATTAGTTGAGATCATGTTATGGTGACTCCTTCCTGAACGACTCTTTGCTGTTTTGGCGGACATCGGCGCAGCGCGCTTTCACGATTTAAGGACGGACTCGGAGGTTTCAAACGTTATCGTTGAAGGTGTGTGGCAGGTGAAACAGGAGTGGTTGTGATAAAAGCAAGAAAACCTGTTGTGTTGGTCTGGACGTGTGGGGTGTGGCAAGACAAAAGAAGGAAAGACAACAGGCGCGCTTCGTTTCATTATTCAGTGTCCTTTTATAGAGGCTTGCACCTTCTCAATTTACACTGGGATCAGAAGGGATGCTGGATTCCGTCCAACATGGTATTTTGTGCATCAAAACTAGAGTAATTGTGACGAGGTTCAAATCAAGTGCAGTAATCAAACTGATTGGTTAGTTTTGCTCTGTGTGGTATGAACATGCCTTGTATGTTCTCCAATAGCCTACAGATATGACTGATTTTACTTGCTGGAACAGAGTTGTCAAGCGATTGGGGGCAGGTATGGGCAAGCCCTTTGTTCAGGTACGTCCACATGGTTTCATTTATATAACAGGGTTGCAAAATCTCAAGAATTCATTCGCATCAGTGCAGTCGCTGAGGACTGAAGTTTGCTGCTCACCCTGATGTTTTAGGCAGGGCTATCATTTGTGAGTCTCAGTAATGACGGCCTTTCACAGCAAACCATGGGTGTGTCGCTCTCACAAGCTGGCGTTTTCCTCGTTGCTCCTCCTCCTTCCCTGTCTGTCCACTTTCCCAGGTTATCTGCCTTCCTCCCGACAGTTGCAGTGTGTGTTTTCATTTGAATAGTGATCACGTCATTTCGCTCTCAAAGCAGGAGGTAAACGTGATGAGCCACGCCAAACAAATTGCGCGCATTTTGAAATTTGGATAGTTGGGAAAGTTTGTAGTTGTGAAACACCTTTTTTGTAAACCGTTGGCAAGTGCATCTCCAGTGTTGGCTCTCAGTGGCTGCTTGAATATGTGATTCAAGGCGCAATTGAGGAGCAGTTTTGCTAATCAATGACATTTTCAGCATGACGTCCCTGACTTTGATTCTCTCCTCTTTCATCTATAACTGCTTCAAACACCAAAGAGTGTGCAGAAAAGTGGTTAAAGATTGAATGACTGTCTCTGTCTTATGTGTTGTGTTGTATTATTTTGTTGTGATGTTATTATGACTTAAAGCTGGCGCAGCGAGAGTGGCTGCCTTTACAACAGCTCCTATACTTTTTGCTCTTCTGCTTTCTTCCTTTTATAACTTTGCTGATGTAAATTGGGAATTTCTCCATTGTGAGAAGAATGAAATTTTTCTTATTCTTATTTTAAGGAGCAAATTACAAATTTAAAATTTTTTTTTTAAAATTTTAATCGCAGGGTCCCGAATCAATGGTTTTATTAAACAAAGATGACAATTAAACAGGGAGGTTGAATGTAGGGCTGCAGCTATTAAATATCCTAGTATTGGCGTACCTTACAGAAAATTCGAAAGAATAATCGAGTATTTTGATAAATTATATTTTTACTCGTTATATTTCAGTTTATAACAAGCAACCAATCTGTGTCCTTTTTGTAATACAAACAGTCTAAATTAGTCAAATTCACAGTGTGTCCATTAGCACTGTTTTATTGTCTAGAAACATTTTGAGAGGGAAAACTTCAAAACAAATCAAATTTTTAAACTTAAACCTGGCATTTCTTGTATCAAAAATATAGCATTAAAAAACATCTTAAACATCATTTGTGCAGTTTCACTTGAGCAGCTAGCATTTTAGCAAGGAACATGATCGTATAGTAGCGTCATGGCTGTGCATTTATGATCTTAGATCTTAAGACAATATTATTTGTTGTGTGTGTGTGTGTGTGTGTGTGTCTGTGTGTGTGCGTGGTCTTCCGATCATTCAGGTCATCTTTTGTGTTCTTATCTGTGTCAATGAAAAGAATAAATTTGAAGTTTGACATCCGCAGGGCGGCTTTCACAGCTGGCTACACTACGGTCCTGTCCACTTATTTTTTTTTTTTTTAATTGTCTTTCCTACCTAATTGTGACTTCAGTGTGATGCTAAAGATGAGGGTCGCAGTCAGCTTATAGTGGAGTGCGCATGTCATAGACATGTTTCTATCCAGTCTTGTTTTTGCAAGTGTCGCACCGAGACAACTGGTCATTTATTTTAAGTACATTAGGCCACACTTTTATTCAGCTTCTATATACCACACATTTGTAGGTGTGCACACATACGTCGTCTTTGTCGTTTCCATAGCTGTGTCGTCGTGGGTCAGCAGGCGAACACTCTGTGACAAGGTTCACAAAACTTTTTTTTTTTTTCTTCGCCTTTGCTTTTCCCACTAAATTGTAAAGTCAGCTGACTTTGTCTTTATTCTCCAATAACTCCTTTTTAGTATTCTGTGCCTTCACTTTTAAATGGAGCAAATCCTGATGTACGTTCTTTTTCCATCTCTTCTTTGGCCTTCCTCTTTGGTCTTTTTCCTTCTAACTGCAGACCTATAGCCTCCCTAACAGGATCGTCTTCCTCCATTCTCATCACATGTCCATACCACGGAATTCTGATCTCCTTTACCTTTTTATTCATGTCATTTATCCCTTCGTCCCGCCTGATGTGCTCACTTCTCTCCTTATCCTTTAATTAGCATCTTAGCATCCTCATTTCTGTTGCCCCCCCCATTGCCCGTACCTCAGTCCCATACAACACTATCGGTCGTATGGCTGCGTTATATAATTTTTAGTTTTCGTCTTCTGAGCTTTTTCCTGCCACAAAAATGATTCTTGTGCACTTAAAACACATTTGTGTTCAAAATCTCCTCTTACTGTATGTGCTTGTAATTAATTAATTGCAATATTCATACTCTTGCTTTGACCAGCATCCCTCAGATTGCCTTGCAGTTCAAGATCAGGGTTTTTTTCTCTGGTTTATTTTTTTTTTTTATAATTCGCTTTCATCAAACACTTTTTCTATTGATACTGATTACCTGTCTATCCCGACACATATTGAATTAGCACCCAACACTATTTCTCCTTATTTTGTTGAGATGAGTCACTTGATAGATAAAAATCAACAAAGAGTATTTTAAGGACTTTATCTTGTTCAGGACTTCGGAAAATATACTCAAATGTAGACTTCTTAGTTGGTGAGAAATAATAATAACAATCTTTTGTTCTAAACATAAGTTGATTTAAGCAGTCAAAAGCATTACAAAGTTGAATAAATGACATAATGCTTGTCCAAATTGAACTTAAGTGGTGGGGTGGGGTGGGGTGGGAAGTTAATGATGACAAGCTATGGCCCGGTGCTGAGCCAGTGATGTCGCAAGTTGGCTGACATATCCAAAGTGTGATTAGCGGCTCATGCATTGAGGAATGCAACTCATAGTCGCAAGGATTAAGGTGTATTACACAGCACATTGACCATTGCGTATGTTGCGGTAATATGTTGGGCTCTCACAACCAAATCTTTTTAGAATTGTTCATCCTATCACTGCGATTGGCTGGCAAATGGGTCAGGGTGTCCCCCGCCTACTGCCCGAAGACCTCTGGGATAGGCTCCAACATGTCCCGTGACCCTTGTGAGGATAAAGCGGTTCAGAAAATGGATGGATGGATTTATCCTATCAATTATTCCATTGATAACTAGAGTGATCCCTCTCGCCCTTGCACACACTGTCCTGTTGACTTTTTTTTTTTTCAGTGAAATGGGTGATAAGCCTGCATTTACACACACTTACACACTTAAGTTTGCCAGTGTCGGTGTTTATTAACACTATCAAGTACTTTAAAGTAAACAATATTTTCACATTAGGTTTTATATGAGCCATTGTCTGCTGTTATGCTCTCGTTTTCGTTTTCCAAAGGCCTGTCGTGACCGTGAGGTCTTCCCAAAAAAGATTAAATACGGTCACATGTCTTAAGCACAAGACGTCAGACGTTAGTTGTTTTTCACTTTTTATTATAAATCACAAACACGGTCACTGTGGGCCGTAGCAGACACCAATATATAACAGCCAGAGGCCAAGAGTACACACGAACAAAGTCCTCCCTTACGTCCGCTGAATCCATTGCTGTCGGGCTGACTGCTCCTTCTCGTGAATTGCGTGATGCATTCAAAAACACTTGGAAATATCCTTGCAAAAACGTTTACCCGCCACCAGCACACATATCCCAATTTGTGATAGTACAATAAAAGATCCAGCTGGACCGCTCTTTAATTTTCATTCGCATCAATAGTCACATGACTTTACACTCATAATCATCATCACTGCTCAGCGTTGAAACACAGGCAGCAATTTATGAAAAGCTAAGTCCGCTGGAGAAGCTTTAACACGTATCACGCGGTTGCGATAATAGGTGAAGATGCATTTATGAGTGTGTATATACCTGTATATCCCTATGAAGACCGACGTTGCAGTCAGCAGTGCTAAATGAGATGCTTCATACGTTATTTCTCTCATCTATTGAACGCTCTCGCCATTGCCTGAGGGCAGAAAGTACTTTAGTTGGCAAAAGAAAACCAAGAATAACCAAACTTTTACATTAGTGTAACAGTGGCATTGGGTGTAAAGCGGCAACAGAGCGAACTCAATGTAAAGGACGCCGGCCGGCTTATGTTGCGTGAGTGTACGTTAGTAAAACCTTCCTCTGAGGGCCTTCAAAACCGCTGACTTGGCGGCCTGTGCTCCCTCGCCGGTGACGTGGTGACGGTGCGGCTTCAAAGCCCGAATAGGTGGGGCTCAGGCAGCGCATGAGCTGCCACCAAGACCTAAACAAGAAACGTAGGTAAAACTTTGCTACCATCATGAAGCAGCTCACTTTCATCAAATATAAGATGTAGTAATTGTGCCAGTGCGGTGCGGTGTGGCTGTGGAGATTATAAAGCTGCGCCACATAATATTGAAAATGCTTCTACCCTAATGTAAGACCTTTTTTGTTCTTTGTGCTGTAAGACTCCACTGAGGATTGATTCTTTTGCTCAGCTCTGACTTGTCCTTGTGGCTACTTTCTTTGGTGCGATTGTTTGGCAGTGTGACGCTGTCAAGGACAAATGCTTGCATTGATTAGCGAAATGAATTGGAGCAGTCCCTTTCACTGTTTTATCACAACAAACTTCAATCACACATCAAGAAGAAAGTGAATCTCCTTCTGTAATATGATGTCACTTATGTGTGAAGAGGTTCGATTCACTGATTATGTTGACATCGAGTCAAAATTTGGGTTCAAGTCAAATTTCTGGTTCTAAAACATTCAAGATAACCTGGAAGGCTTTCAGAGTAGACTGAAGTGCTTGCTTTTTGTTGGTTTCCTTCTCACGAGACATTGAGGCAAGTATCTACAACATTTTTTTCCCTTGTAATGTCAAACTGTCAAATATGAAGAGGATAAATTTGGTCGTATGTTTCATGAATAAACCCGAAGAGCACCGAAAATACTCTGTTACTCCACATTTAATTGATGATATGGCGAATGTTTGTTGCATGTTAGAACGCCGTTACGCCACAAGCAGGCATTATTGGCTGTTTCCTACCAAATTGTCATTTTAGTTGTTACTAGTTTTAGTCGACTAATAGTCTGAGCATTTCAGACTTATTCTTCTTTTAGTCACTTTTGTCCATGATTTTTTGTTCAGTTTTACTTGACAAAAAAACCTGATGACGTTTTAGTCAAAGATAACTGATGACATTTTGGCAGCAGTGGCAAATTCAGGTCCAGAAAGCTGAAAACGCTGCCACAAGTTTGGCTGTAGCTTCTACGCCACTTACAGGTAAACTGAACCTGGATTTGCCACCTGCGCAATTTACTGTAGTCTAGTTTTAGTCAAGGAAAACCGATGATATTTCAGTCTAGTTTTAGTCAAATAAACATTGTATTTTTGTCTCTTTTCAGTCATGCAATTCGATTTAACCCTGCGAATATATGCATAGTCCCGGATCATCAATGCAGGAGTTGGTTGGACGTGTGCCAGCACCAACACATGAAACGCACAGAGGCCAAATCTCTGTATGGCAATTCAAATGAGGCTGTGTCAGCAGTGCACATGGCCAAGCCACAACAGCATTTTATCACAGCCTGACCTCTGCCGTGCCTGCTTTTGTGCGCCATATCCATGTTCCAGCGTTATCTGGAATGGTGAGTTGGTATATAAAAATCAAGACTATGCAACAATCGGTCAAGCATTTAAACCGGTTCTTTCAGTGCCAAGGTTCCAGTATGCAATGGATGTCTGCAAGGCTTCCATCCTTGTACAGTATATATTGTGTACGGCCGGCGACTGGGTTTGCGGCGAACCCTCCAGCCGATACCATTAGCTGTGCTGCTAATGGCAAAATAAGTAATGGCCAGTATTGCTTTTTTTTTTTGTAAGTGGCTAAAGCCATTTAAAACTCTCCCAGAAACTCCCTACCACAAGAATGTTGGTGGTGGGATGTGCTTACGACGTGTAGATGTTTATAGCACTCGAGCGTAAGAGACTATTCTCTGTGTTCCTAACAAGAGTTACATTTTTTTTATTTTTTAAATTACAGTCTGACAAACTAAAGGTCAAAATAGTATGAAGATGTAACTGCTATGTTGTGTTAAGACTTACGTGAATGGTTTGGTGTAATACTTGAGAGCAGCTGAAGTCAAGTTTCCTAATAATTTTTGTTGCTTTCTGTGATAAAATTGCTCTGGCGCATCCCCTCAAATTCTTTCATTTTGCTCGCCTTATCCACTGGGGTTTTATTTATTTATTTTTTTCTTCCTGTCGCTGTTCTTTGATGAGGAAATGACAGATCTTGAAAAATATAATAAAATAGGTGTTAGGGTGGTCATAGCGGGGAATAGGGACGACACATTAGGTCAGATTCCAACAACTGAGACAGGATATGACATGCTAAATCTGACTGTGGAATGTATGACAATAGGGTGTGTGTGTGCATGTGTGTGTGCATGCATGCGAGAGAGTGTGTGTGTGTGTGTGTGTGTGTGTGTGTGTGTGTGTGTGTGTGTGTGTGTGTGTGTGCGTGTGTGTGCGTGTGTGTTTTATCTGTTTTGGTCCTAGCCTTTAAATGTGTGGCAGTGGAAGAGGACTCAAATGGAAAGGAACAGAATTTAAGTCTTCTGCCACACCACTACGATGTGTTACAATTCAATGGCCTATAATTCCATAGATGGATTATTTCTTGATTTGTTTTTGTCTTACTTTCTCATTAATAATCACTCATTAAGATCCACTCTAATGCAGAGGTGGATTTTGGCCAATTTGCTTTCTCAAATACTTGATTCTTTTTTCTAGCTACATGGAAGTTCATCCTTGCCTCTTGTTATCTGCATAGTGAGAGCTAATTACAATGTCAGAGCAGCATTTCAATTCCTCAAACATAATATAAGGTGTCCGCCATTTGTGATCAGCTTGTTCGTATCCCAAATGAATACCAGGGCTAACTAGGCCTTTTATTTTGAACTGTAATAAATAAATCGGAGTAGATCCGCAACAGTTTGTACATCCAAAAACGTTTAAAATAACATCAAAAAACAAAAGAAAATAAAAAATGTTGCTCTCAAATAGCAAGACAATAGACCACGGACCAACACAAAATGCATACAATGATGGCTGGGCTGTCAACCCAAATTAGGTTTTTGTGTAGTTTAAAATGGACCTGAGTTGGCAGAACAATAAATAAGAAAGAAATAGGGTCGTTGTCTGCCAAATTACCCAGTGTGGATTTTGATTTTAATGAGAGGATAAGCAGTTTAGATGATGGATGGAACCTTTGTATACTTGATAGTGATGACACAATACAAAATCTGATGATGTTGAATGACCATTGAATATCTGAGGGTACACATATCTGAAATTTTCTTTTGAGTTATCGATCATGTGAGGGATTACATTTAATGAAAAATATTAAGGTCATGTGATCCACAAGGTGAATTTCAAAGTCAAATTATAGGTTAAAAGTTCAAGTTCCTAAAATAGACGCATGTTGACCCAGTAGTTCCTGAGATATAAAGGCTCTCAGGAAGGATTGGTGCATATTTTAGAAACCTGTAATTTGACCTTGACTTTGAACTTGAATTTGTGGACGCCCTTTTTACAGAAAATGTCAAAATTTGATGCCCGATAGCTTGCAAATGCCTGCTGCGACTGACCTAAAATCTGTGCATTTGTGTTATGCCATCATCTTTAAAATCAAAATCTGTTTGGTCAAACTTACTGGGTGATTTGGCATGGAATGACCCAAAATGAAATCTCTTGAATAATTATATATATTCTGATAAATCAATTTCCCTTAAATTTACATGAAAGTAATGATAATTTTCTGTTTTCTTTTTTTGTATTTTTGAAATTGATAATGTAGACCGCAGAATAAAAGGGGAAAAAAAGAGTCATGAAAATAAAACAAATATCCAAATAAATACTACTGAAAATATTGAGTGTAATTGTGGCATGTTTTTTATAAGGTAACATTTCAAATAACACGACAAATATCCTTGGTTGCGCGGAGTTGGACAAGGTGGAACACTTGTTCTGTTGTTCAAACAAGATTGAATAGCACATTATTGTTGTTGTTAATGAGCAAAAAAGCTTTTCCTGTCTGTCTAGTTATCTCAAATGTAATGGGCCAAATGAAAAAAAAAAAAGTGCAATATCAAGGTTTCACTTGTTTCTAATTTGTAGCTGGTCCACAGTTCAAATATCACCCGCGACCCTCCTGTGTTCTCCCCGTGCTTGTTTATTTTGGTCATTGTCATTCCAAACACATGAGGTGAGAAGAGTCAACATCGTCCATGGATGAATGGATGTATGTCTAGAATGTACCGTATGCACCTTGTGATTAAATGGCCAAAAGTTAGCAGAGATGGGCTGCAACTCATCCGCAGCCCTGATGAGAGCAGCCGCTGATAGAAAATGGAAGGATGAATGGATAATCGCAATTTGTGATATATATATATATATATATATATATATACACACACACACACACACACACACACGTTTTTTTATTTTTATTTTAAATATTTGCAACATGACTGAAGTCTGCATGTGGTGCCAACTCTCCCTCGGGTGCACGCATCTGCTGGAGTGAGACATGCCGCCAAATTACCAATCTCATATTCATGAACATATAAAGGAGATAAATCTTAAAATAGTTCACACATCAGTCACCAATATATCATTGAATGACCACTGTGGCTGGAGATGCCAATTGTTGAGCATGTGCTTAATTTTCATACGCCAAATGTAACCTCTGCTTGTTGCGCATTAGTGTCCCATATCTTTTGTTCAATTCACTCGAAACGCTTCTGACTTTTTAAATTGCATGTTAGGATGGTATGACTCCCGTTTCCTAGTAACTGGGGATGTGTTGCTCACACCTTTTATTCCTTCACACTTTTACTGCCTGCTTGGAAGTTGGAATGAAGGAGTGCTAACCAGCTGCCCGAGCTGCACCTTAAAACATTCTCACGGTTCTACATCAACTATCTGTGTCGGGCCACCCAAAGTTCACTGACGCTGGCGCGACCAGCTAGTACAAATTTCAAGTAAATACGATGAAATCAACATCTTCTTGCTTTTTTTTAAATTAGGGGAGCACCGCTCACAAATTTCTGTCCGATCCCTGATCTTTAAGAAGCTTGGCCTGGTCATCCCGATTTTTGCTCAGCGCATTTTTTTTTTTTTTTTTTTTTAAACACATAATCAGCAGCATATAGCCTCAACATTCCAATTATTGTAAACCTTTGAAAATAGAGATGAAACAAAACAAACAGGTTGTTTAAACTGCAGAAAGTAGTTCTGTCAAATAAAAATGAAAATCCCATTCGTCACTTCACAGCAGGAGAGAGCAAAGGCTGACTTTCAGACCTCTGTGCAGAGGAAGACGGCGATTGCTGCGAAGATCAGTTTTATTTTAAGGAGTTGGCTATTCACCAATCCTCCAGAATTAAGGAACTCAGCCCTGATTCCGATCCCAATTGATCAATCGATGCACCTCTGTTTTTAGCATGAATACTCAATATTTTTAGGTTAATCTACCTAAATTCATCGATTATCGTAAGTCCAGAAAATGTCAAACGTTAAATATTCCTTTTGATTTAAACTGCAAAAGAATCCCAAAACATGCACAAAAAAGTGACTACACAGAAGCAACATATTCTTAATGGCTTAAATAATGCAGTTTAAACACGTAAAATATGAAACGATCACTTAAACATCATATTATTTCACAAGTACACAACAGGGGCAGTTCTGGCACGACCACCACAACATGGCTCATGGTGGCCCGACATGGCCGCAACCCAAAAGGGTTTAACGTTAGGACCCTGATTCTGTAATACCTCTTTTTACAAAACACTTATTTCCGTTTTTAACCTGCTGAGCAGAAGAGCATGTCGACAAACTTTCCTCGAGTTCTCCAGGTTAATGCTCGGCCCTCAGCTTGGTCGTAATCATTGAGATTGACTGAAGCTCTGGTTGCAAGCTCCTTTTTTCACGCTGTTTTTATATTTCATGCCATTAACCACTATTTTAATCTCTTCCTTATCTCCTCATCACTGTGTTAAATTGTACTGTTTAATTGCCTTCAAGAATGAATTTGAATAGCAGTTTTCATTTGTGCATGGTACCGGTGACCACCTGCCCTCATACCTGTTTACCTGGGTGATTCGGTTCTCCTCTGTTGGTTCTTTGATTCCTGGTGTTGGTTAAATCCCTCTTGCTCTTTGGTGTTGACCCTGTCCTTCCCTTTCCTCTGCTTTGCTCTTAGTGTGTGAATGGAGCAGTGTGCGAGTACGGCCTCCCTGCTGGCCTCCGTGCGGGAGCAGGAGAGGCAGTTTGAGATGCTGAGCCGAGCTCTGGAGGAGGAGCGGAGGTCGTGCGCCGGCACTTTGCCCCGCCCCCTCCCCAACATGCAGGTAACAGTGTATATTCCTTGCCACCTTCTCATCCACCCTCAAGCACCTGGCCGTCCCCCTTGAATCGAGCAAAGCGCCATCTTTGTCATCCTTACGGTCAGCGTCAATCAGCTTGTGCGTGGACAGGATGGCAGCAGAAGCCGGGGAAAAAGAATTTAGCCGGTTCTCACTGGCGCTTTAATTTGGATATGTAACGAAGGTGAGGTAAAGGTACATCTGTCATTTGGGCCCTATCCCAGCATTGATATTTTGCATTGCAGAAGGAACTGGGCATGTTTTGAGTAATATGTGAAGTAAAGCCTGCACTTAATACATTTTAGCAGCAAACGTGTGTCTATCGTTGAGTAGTCACGGTGAATATTTTAGTGAAGCAATTTGCGGTGGAGTGTTCCTCGGCTGCTCTTTATATCTTCTGATCACACACGCTTCTATCCCCAGTCCATTCCCAAATAACATCCATGTTTACGGCGTCTTCCCCATCCTCCTTCCTCTCCAACAATTCAGCCCAGCAGACCAATGTAACCCATCAAGTTAAATGGCTGTTTCTCAAAAAAAAAAAAAAAAAAATCATCTTCTTTGTCTCTTGCATGGTCACCATATAGGACTTCAATGATGTATGTGCTTAGATGTTTATTGGGGTTTTTTTTTTGGGGTAAGGTTAACTTGCAGTCACTTTCTTTATTTCACCAAGGACTGTGGAACACGGTGCCAGTTATGGTTGAACTTTCTTTAGAGGTGTTAGGCGTTAAATCTTAGCTGTTACTTGCCTATGCTCGCATCCACATGACAGTTTGAACCATACTCTCATGTCTTCCTCCTTCAGTCTCTTTACTAACAGGCTGCCATGAAAATGGATGAATGCAAACATACTTGAATTAGAAGTTCCGTTTTTGTGTGAGGGCAAGATAAATGTATCATGTTGCTGTTTTTCTGTTTGTTTACATACCCCAAAGGCTTCGGCATTTCTCTGTCACCCTGGTACTGACATGCTCTCACATGCACTTTGGTCCAACATTTTCTTCTGTTGTACAACCAGTAAAACCGTCTCTGGACTGTCTTGTCACTTTTTAAAAATGAGTCTTTTCTGTTTTTCCAGATTTCAACATGCTTTGACTATTGTCTTAAATGCGACAGCTCCATATTGATTCTTTCTGTATTTCGTATTTTTTATTTTATTTATTTTTTTATCACCAGAGAGCAACGTCTCATCTCTGAGTCATTGTTGCACAAGTTTGACCCTGTCTGTGGTCTGTTTGATCCTCATGGTTTTATGGCTGTGTCTCACTGAGCGCCAAAGGTGTGCGCACGGAGTTGTTTTTTTTTCGTCAGGGTTCGTTCAAGGTCCCCCAAAGGATCGTAAAGATGTTCCACGATAATTTTAATAGTCTCTAATAGTTTTTTTTTTTTTTTTTTTTGCATAGAAATTGTTGAACATGTTCAAATTATGATGGCCACGGGACGGAATGGTTGCAATCATTAAAGCTGTTTGGGAAAGACTGTCGAACATCTTTGCAACTGTTTGCAACATTGAACGAACCCTGACAAAAGAAAAAAAAGGAGAAAAAAAAACAATTCGCTTCATGCGCACCCACTTGCAAACCTTAGCCACCCGGCGTGACATACGTATGGGCCTTAAGAAAGTTTGGGAGCTGGAATTTACATCACAATCAACTGAAATTGACAGTCAACACACATTTCATCTCCCTTTGACTCATATTCTTTCATTCATTGCATACAGTCTGTCTCCATGTTCCCATTATACCATTCACACTCATTTTCTGGTGTGATTGGCATGGTTTCAGGAATTTTGGAAATACGATTTTGAGGGTGTGATTATTAATAACTTCTAATAATATAATGTACTTATTAGCGAGCATTACTGGTCAGTTGACACTAATCTGATATGATAGTAGCATTACTTGAATCATCAATTAAAATCATTATTTTTTGAGTCCAAAGGAGGACATTGCCAAAGGGCACAACCATCCACTTGGAGATTCTTACCATTGCTGAGAATATTTGTGATTCATTCATTCAAAATGCTTTGAACAAGCTTGAAGTACATTTCCTCCTCTTCATAGAACGGCCGCCTTCCTTGTGATGCAGACGTAGAGAGGCTAACACTTAACGAGAGTTACGTCAACGGGACACATCACGTAAGAAACAAACCTCCCTCGTATTAGACTGTTTAATTATGAACAAAGGTAACCCGTGGGAGACTTTTTTTTGAAACCCTGAAATGGACTTGTGCAGTTCAGGATGGAGCCTGGTCAGATGGTGCAGGAGACATACACAGTGGAACAAGAGCCCCAGGAGTCCAACCCTCCGGTATCTGTGGAAACCAACGATGATGGCACTACAAGACGCATAGAACCCCTGGTAAAATGTAGATGGATGTTTGTGCTCTGCACAAGTGTGGTGTCGTGTCATTAGTTTGCTTTCACATCTATATCGACTTTCTTGAAATCAGTGGATGGATTTGTATGTTGAATGAAGATGTTAAAACTTGTCAAAATTTGTCATGACAAATCATAGTCTCACAACTGTAAATACAGTAAATAATCAAGTTGCTTAATTAATAAAGATTGGATCGGTTGGTCCATCTTATGATCAGATCGGTGATGGGTTTTGTTTTTTTTCTCCCCCACAACTCGATCAATCAGCTCCAAAATGTTGATCGTGTAAAGCCTTTTGACTATTGGATTAGCCGAGGTAAACGGCGAGTTCTAACCTTTCAAAATGATACAAACTATGTCGCCGCCATAGGATCAAACATAAATCAAAGACCCGAACAAATAGTACGGGACGAATCCCCCAAAAATCGCAGTAACAATGAATGAACAGAAAGAAGCCTTAAAAGGATTTTCAGATGAGTTAAATACGTCATGATGTGCATTTAGATTTTCTGATTGAAAATATTCTGATTTGTAGTTGATCTTTGGGTTTTATTGCACAAGGTTGTGTACTATTCCATATCAGATCCTGATGTCTCGGATCCCACCCTGCCTCTCTTACTAGGTAAAAAAAGTAGTGATGCCCACTACCACCCGCACAGTCATCCCCTCCGTATCCGACACACTTTCCTTGGATGGTGGGGGTTCGGCGACTGGCGTGGGCGCCTACATCCCACCCATGGACCGGGGCTACAGGCAGGCACCTGGAGTAGGTGTACCCATGGAGTACCCCACTCACACCGTGCCACGCAACTACCAATATGGACCTCCAGGGGGCTATGAGGACTACCGTGCTGGACCCCCGTCTGAAACATACGCAAGCCTCAGCAGGGGTGCTCGCGTGGACGATCGCTATAGGTAGCACACCGTCTGTAATGGTCATCATTTACTTTTGTGTTTTAAACTTCAATCTGTGATATTCTCACTTCTCTGTCAATTATCTGTCTAGACCAGTCCATCCAGATGGTTATCGAACTCTGGATCCAAGCTACAGAGCACCCAGCAGGAATCAGATTGACCCCTATGCTGCTCAACCACAGGTAGAATTAGCAGTTTTCCACCATACTATCCTTTCAAAGTGAATATGATTTTCAGCTCAACCAAATTGTTCATTTAGAGCAGTGTGGCGATGTGTACACTAATTGCAGTGTGAAAGCTGCTAACAAGATTTGAATGGGAGACATTGGAGGTTGTGGAGCCAACCCCCATTTTTCATGGAAAACACATATTTGAGGTTTAGCAGCGTTTTTTGTTGGTTTAAAAAGAGAAAAAAATGCATTGGCTCCAATGCATATCACTGGACATCAATTACAATATATGCGGATTTTCGCTATTCCTGGGCCGTCCTGTTCCCTATCCCAATTATAGTTCAGATTTAGACTATCCTGAACTGTTTTTTTTAATAACTTTTAATTGATTATCCATATAATTAACTGAATACCTTATTTTTTGTAAATGTGACTTGACTTAAATGTCATGGAATCGTAGCGTTAGCCCAGTTCAAAATTCTAAGTGTGTGATGTTAAACATTTTCCTGCTTTTTAGGTTGGACGAATGGGAAGTGCAGTGGAGCTCTCTTCAATCCCAAGGTTCGTTCCCGAGTCATATGGACTGGAGGATGATCGCCGAAGTATGGGCTATGATGAGGCTGACTATGGTATGGGCCATCCAGTGCACTACAGCACTGTGCCCCGTAACCACCATGGCTTTCCCCAAGGGCCACCACGTAGGACTGGGTGAGTTGTTGCACGTCATGTGGATCTTTACTTTGGTGAATAGTTTAGTGTTGATATGCTATGTGTGCGTGTGCGTGTGTGTGTGTTCATCTCTCTGCTCTGGTTCTTCATCCTCAGGAGTTACGAGGGCACGCTGGATGGTGATATGAGTGGTCCAGGGGACATGTACTATTGGGGAGGTGGTGTCCCTAAGGCACAGGGAGAAAGAGGAAGCATGGCTTCATTGGACAGCACTCTGAGGAAAGGCCCCGGCCCAGGTGGCTGGCGTCAGCCTGAGTTGCCAGAGGTTGTTGCCATGCTCAACTACAGGCTGGATCCAGTCAGGAGCAATGCTGCTGCATACTTGCAGCATCTCACTTATAAGAATGATAAGGTAAGATAAGCATGTACCCATACTCGTATAAAGCCCTATCTGTACTAGTTTTGGTAGAACAATTTGAATCTCGTCTTTTTTTCGAGTTGAAGTGACACCTTCAACCAAGACTGGTTGTTGAATTTGTGGCAGATTACTCGTCACTTATTTCCCATTTTCACATTTAATTGTTTAAAATGGGAAGTTGCTCTGTCTAATTATGTACCTCTGCACACAGAATGTGCATTTACCATGTGCATCATCACTTAGCCAAAGCCTTCTGCTTTTAGGTGAAGTCAGAGGTTCGACGTCTGAAAGGAATCCCAGCATTGGTATCAATGCTTGACAACCCAAACAAAGATGTAAGTTTAGTTTTGCAACAGTCTAATGTCTTTGTAACGGTGATTATCATTGTTCCCAGTTGAGGTTGTTTTAGTTATGCAACACTGAAACCGTTTATTGGTATGTATTATGCTCCTAAATTCTTACACAAATAGTGAATGAAAGAGGGACAGGAATAGATTTTTGCTGTGGTGGTTGCACACAGCGTTTGGATGTTCCTGGTAAATTCTGCTGTCAGCATTTGCCCCAAATATAGTTTGTCTAAACATTCTTTGGTCTTTCAAATTTAAATTTAGTACAAGCTGTGGTGAGTTACTGCTGATGTAAGTTTGAGTCCTGGCAGTCACAACACTGCTTCAGTTGCATTATTGAGGCCAGGAAGTCCCCTAATTTGACGAATACTGTACAAATTACTATATTTAGCTGAGCTGTTATCAGCGTGTCTATTGTTTGTCGAAAGACATTGCAGGAGAAATAGGTCAGGCCAGCTGCCTGCTCCATAACCTTTTCAAAAGTACATTTTAGTCAAAGTTACAGTTGCTGGGTGCCTCAACATGGATGTGGGAATTTTCAAATGTTACAATGTAATCATCTCAGTCTGATGAAAACTGTGTGTCACAGGTGCATTATGCAGCCTGTGGAGCGTTAAAGAACATTTCATTTGGTAAAGATCCAGACAACAAAATTGCCATCAAGAACTGTGATGGAGTGCCTGCCCTAATTAGGCTTTTGAGAAAGACCCATGACCAGGACCTTACCGACTTAATCACAGGTTAGCTGCACGCGGTCAACACATGCTAATGTGTATCATGTGACAGTGACTTCCTATTCCTATATTCCTGAGGAGTTTTGATTTTCATCAAAATATGGATTAAAAATACAAAATGTTTCAGGGACACTTTGGAACCTTTCATCCCATGACTCTGTAAAAATGGAAATTGTGGACCACGCATTACACGCCCTCTCGGATGAAGTGATGGTACCTCGTTCAGGCTGGGAACGCGGGAGCAATGGCGGTGGAGGGGAGGAAAATTGTAAGCCCAGGCACCTGGAGTGGGAGACAGCTCTCACCAACACAGCGGGCTGCCTGAGGTATGAGTGCAAATGAAGAACATCAAGGTAGCATTGCGAAGCAGACGTGCTATTTAGAGCAGATGAAAGGGTGAATAGATGGATTTACACAAATTGGTTCTGCAGATATAAATTGTTCCCAATTGAATCCAAACAAATTAAAATGGGATGCGGAATTTCAAGAAGTTACACCAGGGCGTTGAAGAAAATGTAAATATTGGATTTTAGCCTCTGACACTGATATTTTGAAAGGCGCTTATAAATAAAATGTATTATTATTATTATTATTATTATTATTATTATTATTATTATTATATGTATGAAGTCTGTGCTCGGTGCATGATATATGGTATGATGTTCATCTAAAAATTAATGGAATCCAGAAGAATAACTTTTTTTTTTGTTTGTTTACGAAAAAGCCTTAAATGGTACTTACTGATATTCAAGTGGTGAGAAAAGAAAAACCAACAATGGTCACTGAAATAACTTTTGAATTGTCGCTGTGTGTACGTTACCTTTAGCCAATATGCAAATATCTTCTTGAAATTGACCTTGCGTGTTAAAAGTCATGCTTGCATCTGTGATTGTGTGAAATGAAATCAGGACATTTAAAGCTAGCGCTGTGATTCCACAGTTTTATTTTTCAATGAAGTTGAATTACGTTTGATGATGTTTCACATTTACAATGACACAAGCTTAAAGCATAGCCAATCAAATATCTGCATACGTGTGGACATGGCCTGGGAGGACATAACTTTCCCCTGCTAACTTTCCTTTCTTCCAACCCTTGAGAATTTAACCCAGGGTTGAAATGTGAGCTGCATTTCAGAGGGTTAGTTTTGGGGGTGTGCCCAAGCATATAAGCGCAATCTTTTTTTACATTCAGTTGAATTGACCTTTTTAGTTTTTCCATTCCCTACTGGATCTAGCCTTTTCAATTGGCTTCTCCGTTTTAGTTTTACTTTCTTCTTTCTGCTCCTGTCAACTTTTGTCAAATTTCTGCCCGATGACAGAAATGTGAGTTCGGAGCGAAGTGAAGCAAGGCGGAAGCTGAGAGAGTGCACAGGATTAGTGGATTCTCTCATGTACATCGTCCAGTCCCAAATTGACTGTAAAGATGTCGACAACAAGGTACAGAAGGTGCAAGATGCATCGATTGTGGGCCCCATTAACACTCACATAGGAGTGTTTACTTTTTTTATTTTACATCATCATGCTGTATCTACTGTTTTCATTTTCATCCTCCTTTTACTGTATTTCTGTACAGCTTATAGAGAACAGTGTGTGTCTGCTGAGAAACCTATCCTATCATGTGCATCGTGAAATCCCCGGCTGTGAGCGTTACCAAGAAGCTGCACCTGTCAACCAGGGCCCGGCCCCATCCAGCCAGAAGAGCGGTTGTTTCAGCTCGCGCAAGAATAAAGGTACGATTCAGTAACTGAGTCTCATCTTATTTGAACACACTCCCACCCAAACAAACCAACAAGTTTGCACAGGAATGCTGAGAATGTGAGAGAAAGGTCATCCTTTCCAGTTGCTCTGTTTGTGTTCCATCGAGAGTATTGATTTTTTTTTTTTTTCTTTTTCCTCAAGTGGCTTCACTTTCTGGGTATTTGCATGAGACCACACACGATTTAGCATGTTATCAGAGAAAATAACATTCTGTACACGATATGAATATTTACACAAGGCCACTAATTCTCAAAGTGTGGGCTATATAGCACTATTGATATGCGGGCTCCCTGTAAGCGATATGTGGGGGATGGGGAAAAATCACAGAAATTAACATTCAAACTGTGCGTAATGATATTGGCTTCAACTTTTCTTAATTCAGTACATAACAGTAAGTACAGCTCAGTTGGAAATAAAGTTTAAGTATAATACATTTGCATTTGATCATTCATTTTTCCCCACTAATTTAGGTCAAATATTTATTAACCTTTTGTGCAATACCTTTTTTCTTAAATCATTGCATCAGTACTATTTTCCTATTTTTAAGCACATGTTCAAATTGTGCATCATGTTTGACAGAGTTTGGAATTAGCATGACAGTCAATATTATAATTTTGATGTTATAGGTAGTATAATGTTGCTCAGTGCAAATACTATATGAATATGAATAGTTCACTGTTATGGGGAAAGTAAGGGTTAAGGTGTATTATTGAGTAAAAACAATGTAAGAACTATTATTTTGATGGGTTAGTGATCCATTGTACAAACAAAATGCAAAATTAATAAAATATTATGGATAACCATGTCAATATATAAATATTTAAAAAGTGACTTGAACAAAAGAGGAAATATTGGAGAGAATTCAACTCTGCTAACAGCAAAACTGGTAGCTGATACCTCAAGTACTTTTTCCAGAATTGACAGTCCATAGCCCCCCCTTGACCCCCAATGAACATAGAAACAATGCACAGGCAGATAATGCCTCAGTCGACATAACTTTGGCAGCTACTTCCTAGAAGGACCTGCGCCGATAGACTGACTCTTGACGGAAGCATGCAACGACTGAGCAGCATCTGGTCGATGACAGACTTGAAGTGTGACATCTCGCCCGGTCCAAGACACTGTTGTGAACGACAAAAAAGTCATGTAGTTCGACAAAGCCAAAAAAAGAGTAGGCCAGACTGGGTCAGGGGCACAACATTGATAAATTCCTAGGCATGAGATGTTTCGAGAGTATTGATATATATATATATGTATGTATATATGTGTGTATATATATATGTGTGTGTGTGTGTGTGTGTGTGTGTCTCTACATGTATAATACGTCTATTTTTTGTTTCCCTTGATGCAAGTAGAGTTCCATCCTGTTGTTACTAATGTGGATTTAAAAAAAAAAAAAGACTATAGCTTGAGACAAACATCCCTCGAATGGTGCATCATACGAACTGGTTCTATTGTTGAGGATGTACAACAGACCTTGATACATGCTGAATGTTTCATCGTGATCAGTGTCTTCATTGTCAGATTCTTCTGTATAAAACATTTCAGTGTCCTTCCATTGCTTCCATTAAGTCTTCATGCCCGGCATGTTGTGCTGATTATTCTTGTGGGTAGAATCATTGGTGTTGGGGCAGGTGTTGACTTGGTGTCCTAAGTTATAGAGCTTCCTTTTGCTTAAATGCGTTCTCTTCATCTGTCCTCCTCTACTTCCTCTGATCCTCTCCACTTTTTCTCTCCCTTTCGGCGCTGGGCTTCAGATGAGTGGTTTTCCAAAGGTAAGCTCCTGACCGTGGTGTGACTTTGCGTTCTCTGTTTGTCATAATAGTCGCTGTAGTAGTAGTAGTTGTAGTTAACAGATTAGAGTGTTCTCCCTGTACTAACATGCAAACCGTCTTACTGAAAGAACTTAACCAATTTACTAACAACGAATGTAGATTACTTCTAAGTCATGTTCTTAATTGTGGAACTACAATGTCTGTTCCAGGAAAGAAAGATGAGGATGCGGCTGCAGACACAATAGATATTCCAAAGAGAACAACACCGGCTAAAGGTAACTCTAGTTCAATCAACATTGATTGTTTTTGAAACACTTTGAGGTTCTATCTTCCTCTCCCTGCTTTGAGTAGATTTCACTTTACCTGCTGTGCTCGCCTGTTTACCCCCTCTGCTCTGTAGGCTATGAGCTGTTGTTCCAACCAGAGGTGGTTCGCATCTATACCTCTCTGCTGAAGGAGTCGAAGAACCCCACTGTGCTGGAGGCCTCGGCAGGAGCTGTTCAGAATTTGTGCGCTGGACGTTGGACGGTACCTCCTTTCAATAAGTGCTGCTTTTCGTTTAGATGTGCACAAATGGAGCTCTGTTCTCAAGTGGTCCAACATCTGAACTAAAAAATGCATGCACTCCTCTGTGTCAAGCATTGACCATTAACATTTGCCATGGAAATGCAATTACCAATAATTCGTCCCAGCCCCTAAGCCATAGTTATACAGTCTATTGCTTATTTTGATGGTTGTGTGGTTAAAATAAATACTTAAGACCAGTAGTCCCCAACCTTTTTTGCACCACAGCCCGCTTCATACATGTACATGCTTTACGCTGAGCTGGGGTAGTGGGTGGGTGGGTAGCAAGAGATTACTTCAACATTTTATTTACATGAAGAGTACATTTTTAAAACAAAATGATGAATGGAGCAAATTGTTTTTTGCTCAACGTTGCAACAAAAATATATAAAATAACACTGAACAACTAAAACTGTCAGGAATAATACACCTTAAACCAATGGTTCTTAACCTGGGTTCGATCAAACCCTAAGGGTTCGGTGAATCGGTCTCAGGGGTTCGACGGATCCTCTGCCATGAAGGTTAAGACACACCCGACTCAACATGTCAGTTAGTTATGACACGCCCGCTTGGCCATCACTGGCTGCAGATGATCACATTACATTGCTTGTCCAATCAGTGCTGTGGGAAATTCAGTTCGCTTAGTAGTCAACGTGTGACTGTCGTGATAGTACGTCGTAAAATAAAAAAAAATGTACACTTATTAAAAATAGACAAAAGTAAATCAAATTTCAAGACATCAACACCTTTTTTATGTCTTAAATTTGTAAAAAGTCATATTTTTGTTTTTCATGCTCATATTATAACTACCATCTCCCATCCTAATTTGCAAATGAAAATGTATCTGTATTTCTGCAGTATGGCCGGTACATCCGTGCCCTGCTACGCCAGTAGAAAGGTTTGCCCATGATGACTGAACTGCTGGCCCACGGCAACGACCGAGTGGTTCGAGCGATGTCGGGTGCGCTTCGTAACCTGGCGATTGATGCTCGTAACAGAGACCTACTAGGTGAACCTTGCAGCTCCCTACTTGAATAAACTCTGCTTTCTAATTGACCTTTAACACTCACACACTATTTACACTTGCTTATTGCTTCTATGGTCAGGCAAACATGCAGTGCCTCACCTAGTGGCCAACCTTCCTGGTGGCGGTCAGAGTCAGCCCGTGCGAGCACTGTCAGAAGCTACAGTGGTGTCCGTGTTGAGCACGCTCCATGAGGTGCTGGGCTCAAGCTTGGAAGCTGCAAAGACTCTCGGGGCCTCACAAGGAATTGAGAGGCTAGTCCTCATCAACATGGACGGGTAGGGGTCTTCACTGAATTATAGGAAGCAGGGCATTTAAACTCGTTTCGGCTTTTTGTGTGTGTTTGAAATACCCTTTTTCTGCCTCTCTCTGGCATCACCAGTAATCGGTCAGAGAGGGAAGTGCGTGGGGCTGGGCTGGTGCTGCAAACTGTATGGGCCTACAAGGAGCTGCGCCGCACTTTGGAGAAGGATGGATGGAAGAAAACTGACTTCATGGTCAACCTAAACCCTCCCAGTAACAACACTCGGACCAACGGAGGATATGAGGACAGCACGCTGCCGCTTATAGACAAAGGTCAGACAGTAAAAAGTAAAGACATTTCAAATCCACTGCTTATATTGGTCCTCAATCTTCATTTGTGTCAGCAATAAAATGGTCATCTTAGTGACTTCATTCTAACATTCCTGTCTTCAGGTGGCAAAGGCGACCGAGAAATGATTCCGATGAATGACATGGGACCAGGCGAGTATGACCACAGAACGCATTTACAATGAACTAAGTTGTATCATGCTAATTATATGCTACAAATGATGGCTTTCCATTACAAGCACATTCAGACTGCTGCTTTAAATATGCTACTCCTATTAGATGCCTATTCCACGCTGGACCAACGAGGGAGAGGGAACACTCTGGACAACACAATCGAGCCTGATGATAAAGATGCAGCGCAGGTATAAGGCCCTACATTTTTACATAATTTATAGTTCGAATGGTTTTCTTGTTGAGAAATAAACTGGAACAGGGCTATAACCTCCTATTTCACTAATTGGTATTTTTCTTTTTTTTTCCTTTTTCGCGCATCAACACCCTTGGTCAGTCCACACATTTCTGTGTTATTTTTACTAATCATTGACCATGGATGCAGAATACCATAGAGAGAGGCTTGACAAAAAACAACTTGGTATTGCACAAAAATCATGTTCAAGAGACATGTGCATGATCAGCTCTTGAGTAAACAACAGCTATAGATAAATATGGATAGGTAGGTTTGCTCCTTTATGAACGGTGTGCTTCGGGGACGCTAAAATAATGTCCGTGCTTTCCATTGCATTTGACCGGAACATCGGCCCTGCCAGCGTGGCTGCCACATAGATATTACCGTTAGCCGGATCTAGTTTGTGGATCTGTGACCATAACTCTGAAAACAGCGGCACAACCCAGAAATACATATGCTGGTCTCAGTACAACGCCAGTAAAACAGCAGCCAATTCTGGAACCTACAGACTTTGACAAATGTAAATGTAAACTTTTTGGACACAATTACATTTTTAAAAATCACATCCGCTTTAGCTATTTGCAGCCAAGAATTAGAGTAATATTGCAACCTTTGCTTCAAAGTTGCATGTTTGCACTCGATACACATATCCGTTCCCATATTAGCAGCAGCGAACGTTACTGTGAGAAGGGACATGCTCACACACGCCCACAGACAACATGTCTCTTCACGTCTTAATGGAGCGCTTGGTTTATAATTGTCTGGCACATTTCTCACCTGCTTTATGAATTAAAAAGAACCTAACATTTTGCCACCCCTCTTTTTCTTAGACACCCTTCTTAAATATGCTTGCCTCAAACGTTTGATGTTCATCAACTAACACTGTATTGTATTTTGCTCCTTCCTTTCCATCTGTCTCTTTCTGCCACTAATTTTCTCTATGGCTGATTCTCTGTCACACATTTTTTCTTTGCTTTTTTCCCCCCCTTCTATCTCCCAGGGTGTGAGGTTTGGGGAAAGGCAGGCCTCTTTGCCTCTAATGGATTCTTATGATGGTTAGGCCACACCCAGTGTGTAACTGCATGTCAGCGCATGGTATGTTTGTCTCTCTGGCAGCCGCATTCAGCTCACTAGCATGGCCTTATTTTTCCGGTTGTCACCAGTGAGCTTCCATTGTACTGTCGTAACAGTGTTCTTCAAGGTTGTCTCTAATTTTGTGACATAGTTGTGAGCAGCTGCATGATTGACTTTGTCTGCTGTGATTCTAATATCTTCTGTCAAATGATTTTATTCTTGGACCCCCCCCTTACAGAAAAACTGATAGTGTGCATCACAAAACGACATCCTCCCGCCCACTGCCCTTGCTGAACTGACAAAGAGGGACCAGAACACTACCGATGGGACAAACCACCACCATTTTCTTCATATTCTCCTCTCTCCTGCTCATGATTTTGCATCCTATTCCTTCGTAACGAGAAGTCCTCCTTTTGCAGTTGACATTCAAGGAACCCCCATAAAAACTGGAAAAGTGACATGGCTTTATGACAACAAGATTGTTCTCCTATCCTACATCTCTGCGCAACTACACTACGACTTGCCTGGAAAACACTATTGCTCAATTTCAGGTTTGACTGTTCGGAGAATAAGACGTTTGGGGAAAATTGTACATGTATATGTTTAAAAGAAATTGAGGGCTAGTGTAATCTCACCCCTCCCCCCCCCCACACACACACACACAAACCACCACCACCTTTTTTAATGGTTGATAACTACAGAAATATTACCGTAGAACAACTATTGATTGTTTGACTCTCATACATGGATTTCGTGTTTTGTAGTGGTTGTTCCTGTTTTTGCTTTGTGCTGTATGACATGTACATGTGCCAAATGACAATGCCGCCGCTACAGCTGCCATTACTGAATTCTCCTATTAACAACGTAACAGAAGCTTTATGTACAATGTTTTTCTTTGTGAAAGTCCATCACGAAGATGCATGGGCATGCTGCAGTTTCTGAATTTGATATCACTATAAAGGGGCGTAGATTATGAATTTGGGGTCTCCTACGATTTAGTGGAAGATTAGTCTTCACCTGCGACATCTGATTGATTGCGCTATATACCGCAAATTCCTTACATTTGTGATTCAGCAGAGGCATTTTTCTTATTTGTGAGCCCATAATCTGAATGTGTAATACAGTACTGTCTTAACAGAGATTGTGTGGGCCAACTAGAGTGCCTTGATTACTCAGGATAGGTATGATGGGTGTGTCAAACCATAATGTGGCTTGTCAATCACCGTCTTAGTATATGGAATGCCGGAGTTTTGTGTTCTACGACTTAATGGACTACATCTGTTTTTTTGGTATGGCATTGATTTTTGTTGATGTGGTTTCAAGGCAAAACTCTTGTATTCTGTATATGTGCCACAAACGCATCGCCTACCTGCCTTTTAAGTCTACAGAACAGCACATGGGAGAAGAAAGTTGTCCTTTTTTGCCCACATTCTCAAGTTCTGTGCTTATGTGGAGCACAACATTCACGAGTGCAAAGTGAGATGTAGATAATTTCAAAAAAAGAAAAGAAAAAAGCACGAGGTGATATTTTGTTTCTTTGCTTTAATTTTTCATGCCAACTGCCTAATTTTCAAGTTGCCTTGAAGAGAGGACTGATTAAAAGAATAGTGAATTGCTTGGGATTGTGTTCGTTTGGCTAAAAAATACATAGAGCAGAAATTGTCCTTTAGGTAGAGGAGGGGGGAAAATTAAAGCACATTTATACAATATATATTACACAAGAGAATATTTGTTAATTTTATGGCTTTATGTATTTTTGTTTTAATATTGATTTGGGTTTAATTGTTTTGGGCATCTGGGTGAACGTATATGCAATCCGTTTTTGTTAGATTGAAAATTGTCTTAATTTGAAGCTTAAAAAAGATCCAACTTCGACATTTGCAATTGGTTGAAAACTGATTATAAACTACACCTTAGTATTTCCGCCTTTGCTCTTAAAGTTGCACATTCTCATTTATGAATGACTTATGTAACTAGCAATATTGTTTTTAATAAAAAAAGAAAATGATTTTTCACCCTGTGTCGGTTTCCACTTTGTGAATAATTCATTATTTTTTGCAATTGTGGAAATAGTCCCTCAGCCCTGGCCAACTGTGAGCTTGTAGTCCTCCGCTATGACGTCATCGCTACTTGCCAGGCCCGACCTGTGCCGCCACGGTCAGTTTCTGGAAGCTCAGAACTCACAGCAGTTAGCAACCGAGATAAACATAGTTCCCCCTTCAAAACGCAGTTCATTTTAGATAGGCTTCCGTTGTGTGAAGGAAAAAACAAATCAAAAAAGTACAAGCGACAATTAAATTTGGGTAAGTAAACTCTAGAATGCTAGCTCCGCTGTTGGCCATGTGTTAGGATGACATTTCAACTAATTGTCATTGACACATCCTTGTTTGCACATTCGCCATACTTGTGTGCCGTATGCTTACTAATGTTTTGCAATACAGTACTGTAGTTTAATATCAGGACATTCCACGGCCATTTGTCACTTTCAGCGTTAAAAAATATTTTTTAATAGTGATAACTATTCAAAATTTTACACGAAGACCACGTGGACGGACGTTAGAGTGCCGCCACCTGCTCAGAATGGAGGCCAATGGTATTTTAATTCAGGTCATTTTCACACGATTGGAGTATATTTTATCGCGTCAAAATAATAACAGGCCCAAAATTAGCAAGTAGAAGACTTGACTGTGTGGTTGCTTTTAATTAGGTTTCCAAGCAACTCTCCATTGCCAATGCAACATGCAGCACTACCACTTGCGGGACTATGAGATGAAGCTTCTTGGAGAGCTCCAGAGACAACAAAACCGCGCCGAGTTCTGTGATACACTTTTGCAAACTGAGGGTGAGACCCAGAGGGTTAAAAAAAACAACAACAAAAAAAACCCTAAATATATTTACAATGAACAGAGTCTGAAGCATGTGAATTGAATTGAATTGAATGGTATTCGTCTTTCTCTTGTTTAGGTATTTCAGTGCCCACCCACAGCTGTGTTCTGGCTGCTTTTAGCCCTTACTTATCTCAGAAGCTGTCATCCACACCGTCTCCTCCATCTGGGGAAAAACGCCAGCTCCATCTTCAGTCTTTGAAGGCCCACACCCTTTTGAAGCTCGTTGGTCTACTCTATTCAGGGGAGTTGGAGGTAAATGGAAGCGTGGAACAGAATGATGTGATGGATGCAGTCCAGAAGTTTGGGATCACACCCCTCACAGAGAGACAGAGAAATGAGGCTGCAAAGGACATGGAAACCCAGGAGAATCAGGTCGGGATTTGCAGTAAATGTTGCACGTTAACAGTTGCTGGCAGAGAGTGTGCTAATTGCAGTATGAGGAATGATGCACACGTGCATCCTGAGGTGGCAGGACAGAAAGATACACATTGTTCAGCAGAGAAGAGAAGTTGTGTATCCACTGGGACACAAACTCCATTAGACAATCAAACTAATCCAGAAACTCCGGAACACATCACATTTCAACCCCAAAACATCCCTTTAGATGTGTGTGAGTCTATTTCACACCAACCCTCTGCCTCTACAAGTCCAACCTCAAATGGCGAAGTGTCCAGGAATCAGTCCTGTAGTTCAAACAATCACACTTCCTTCTCTGAGAGGCTTCAGAATGGATGTGCTGAGTCTGGTGGCAGTACCCTTGTGCTGACTCAAATAAATGACCAGAATAAGACAAGCAGAGATGAAGTAAAGAAGATGACAGAAGATGAAAATCCCAACTCAACAGAGAGGAGGCCTGCATTTACCAAGACAGCAAAGAAGAACCTGGCCAAGATGAAACTGATGGAGTCAACACAAATTTCTGTGAAGGTACAAAGTAAAAGTGAATGTTGCAACCCCTGCGTCTCATGGTTTTTGAAACACTATTCAGGTCTAAGTATGTAGAATGGCATTGGTTACATCTACTTATTACTTTACACCTTTTAGCCTTAAATACACTTTGCTCAACTTGGAAACTGACAGATGACAAATTTACTTGATGTTTTGTTCAAATTTGATACACTGCAACACAGGGGTGTTGGAGTAGAGAAATCTGTAAAAGGGGCTCTTGAGGACCGCACTTGGGCACCCCTGCTGTAACAGAAAAAGAATTCATCGTTTCAGGATTGTAGTGTCAGAAGAAAAAAGAAAATTACAAATATATGCTGTAACGCATGTGGCCTTTAGGTCTCGGGTTATGTCTATGTAAACTAGTGTGTTGATACTTTGCAGGTGAAGCTGAGGAGGAGGAAGGCAAAAGAAAAACTATGGGAGGTTGTGTCCATTCAAGATGAGGATGAGACAATGTCAGGGTTCGCCCCTTTATCTCAGGTAAAATACACAGTGTAAGAGACTCACAAACTTTGCTTTTATCGTCTGAATCTTTCAAGAAAATTGTTGATTCTATTTCACAAAAATAGCTTTTATCCCTCAATATGTGGGCGTAATTGTAGACCCGCAATGATAAGGACTGGTTGTTAGCAGCTGTGATGCAGTAGTACAGTTCTGTATTTGGGGACAAACACAAACAGCGGTGCGGGAAGGCTGGGGAAGCTTAACCTCAGTGCAAAACCTCCATCACATTTAAATAAACATTGCAACTGAAACAAAACAAGTGAACAGCAATCTACAAATTATTTAAATCTCATCTTTCAAATGTGTGAAACCAGTGAGCCTGTACCATATAGGTATTAAAGTTTAGGCACACTAGTCTGTGCTGAGGTGGATATGGTCTTGGAATTTTTAGCTTTGTTTGTTTGTTAAAATCGCCATCCTTTCTTCCTGTTGGTATTTCTTTATTTGTTACAACTGCTCCATCTGCTGGTTGCCAAGAAATTAAAATCATTAGGTCTCAATATGAAATGCACTTACTACTGTACTTCGAAAGCGCAATTTTTGTTGAGCCATATTTCCATCTTAATTAAATTATTTTTAAACCTCTAACAAAACTGATAGGCAGGGTCAATACTCTCTAATTTTATAATGCAGAGGAATTTTTAGTGAGATACCAGTTTATCTAACTGATTTGGAGCTGAAGAGGAATTCTGCACCAACATACAAGTCTGTAACAGAAATACCCCTGACCCGCCAACTGCAGCTTTCTTTTGTTTTAGTTTTTCCCAGCAAGCTTTAATTGAGCAACGTCTCTTTTGTCTTTCACTCTGGTTAATCTGTTGTAACTGTCAGGTTGTTGCTGCCAAACAGTATATTTCTTTTTCACTGTGCTGTTGTCTGCTTTATTGTCCTCCTGTTTGCTCCATTATTCCGGTCAGCAAGTCTTTGTCAAAGGAGGAAATGTTTAAGCTTCTCTGCCAAGACATTATGACAGGTAGGGAACGCCGCTTCCTCAAGAGCCATATCCTGCCTGTTTTTCCATCCCCCTCTACTTCAAGACATCCGATTCAATCGATCATCTCATCAGCACTCCAACAGACGCCTGAAAAGATCATGATCAATTAGATTAGGTGTGTTGGAGTAAATAAAGCTCTAAAACAGGCACGACATGGCTCTGTACGAACCGGAGTTGCCAATGACTACATTATAATGTGATCAAGTGAATAAGTAACATTAGGCTAACGTTTTTGGTAGCTACCTACAATGTAAACCCATATCTCTTTGAGAATCCCGCTCACCCATCAGGGCTTTCAAAATTTGATGGGGACGGGAACAACTGTTTGCATGGGTCTGACAAACGTCTCTGCAATCTCAAATGAACCCTGATAAAAAAACGTGTGCACTTTGCATGTTCTCCCCGTGCCTGTGTGGGTTTTCTTCGGGTACTCCGGTTTCCTCCCATATTCCAAAAACATGCGTGGCAGGTTAATGAACACTCTAAATTGTCCCTAGGTGTGAGTGTAAGCGTGGATGGTTGTTCGTCTATGTGTGTCCAGCGATTGGCTGGCAACCAGTTCAGGGTGTTCCCCGCCTACTGTCGGAAGACAGCTCGGACAGGCTCCAGCACGCCCCGCGACCCTCGTGAGGATTAGCGAATCAGAAGATGGATAGATAGATGGATAGATTTCTTTATATTTGGTCTTATTGGTTCTTATCTCTTTGTAGGAGGCACACCCAACTGCAGCTCTGACATCAGATCACCATGTTGCACAAGCTGAACCCAGCTACTCGACTAAACTTCCATCCCACCTCAATACTATACCTGGACCGTCACATCACTTCATCGATGGTACTGCTCCACACCAAAATGGAACGCCTCAGCCAGCATGTGTTCCACAGCCTCACGGCCTTGCAGAAGAATCTGATGAGCAAATACAGAAGTTGCTGGAGGACATCATGATGGGTCTGAACATTCTGCCTGACTTGGGAGTTCCAGATGGTGACACAGGGCAAAGTAAAATACCTACAGCTGCCCCTTCAGCTGAATATCAACATTTCCAGAACATTGTGGAACGAAGTTCCCATATATCAACAAACACAGGTATTTGAATGCATGCGTTTCCATTATTTTACTCAACACTTGTGTATTGTTGTAGCTGCTAACAAAGGTTTTGTTTGCTGCATATGCCACAGCCACAAATAGAGCAGCGTTTATGTAATTAATTTAATTTCATTCATAATTTTAACATTTGCTGTAGCCTTTAATTGTTCGTGGTGCTAAAGTCTAAACAGATTTTGAAGCCACAAGAGAATGCAGGCTTACACGTCGAAGTGTATTTTATTTTATTTTTTAAGATAACTGTTAATTCTCGTTTTCTTCAACTGTTTCTAATCTGATGTGATGATTCTGAATGGAAATCATTTAATAATGTACTGATTGACGAAACAGTGTGCGGTGATATTGACGGTATTTTAAGTAACAAGTGCAAACATTTTTGCACACAAACGAAGAGTCAAGCTAGAACATGGATTTGATTCATTCATTTGACTTTGTTTGCCAGGATGATTATGTAATTTGTTTTTAAGACCCTGTAAAGTGACATCAGTGTTTCTCCCCCCCCCCTAAATACATCATACATATTTGAAGATAATTTCTGCAAACTTTCAAAGAACTATGTACTTTGTACTATGAATTTTCCCAGCCATTACTTTTTGTACACATGGACAGAATTGGTGGTACCCCTCTCTTGATGAAAGAAAAATAAGTTTGAATTATTTTACTGTTTATTCTGTTGTTTACAGCAGTTGTCAACTTGTTATGAGGGAACGCACACTGATGACATGAGTGAGGAGTCTGCAATATGTTTTATTGTTATTGAGCAAGTGGTTGTGTGAAGCTGTTGACAGCATCAAATAATGGTTATGGACAAAACAACTAGAATGTGTTCTATCAGTGAAGATTAACATTGTAGCAGAGGATGCAGAGGATGGCAGCTTCTAACAACTACAGATTGCTCCCGGGCTTTGAAGAAGGAAAATCCTGTGAGAACTACAAAAATGAAGTGGAAATGCTGACAATTGTGACGGACTTGGATTCAAAAAAAAAAAAAAAAGTGGATCAAGGGACATCAATTTGGAAATACAAGCAGATGATGACAAGGATAATGGCATGACGAAGTTGATTCGGGAACAGGACATTTTTTTTCTCAGAGCACACACCACTTAGTAAAAGACTGTCCTCACAAGAAAGAACATGTACAGATGGCAAATGAAAGTCAGGGCAGTGATCAGGCATATGATTGTAACAACACTGTTTTCCAAAGAAATATTCATGGTTGAAGCTGTGGAGAAAAGTGACTCAAACTATTTACAGGGATTGGATGAAAGTGAAATGCCAAAAGCGACAAGCATTGAAAGCAGCAAGCCTTTCAAAGATGGAAGATTTGCGAATTTATTTATTTATTTTTAATCCAGCAAACATAAGAACAACAAAATGCTGCATGGAAACACAAGTGGTTCCATCAGACATTCTTTTGCTACCAAGTAAAAGTTCCCGAAAGAGCGCAGGGGCTATGCTAGTTTTGAAGCAAGATACCACAGCCCTGTTGAAACAACTGTTGTCTTTTGAAGTTACATTCTTCATGACATTGCTGTACAAATATATCATATCGAGAATCCGCAGGTGATGCATACATGAATAATGGTTCTTGCTATTTCAGAAAATATGACTGAAGAAAAATGCAAAAGCTGTAAAGAAACTTCACGAGCAGTTAGGCCACGATTCAGTTGATAAACTCAAAGAACACTGAAGAATGCTGGAAATGTTGAGTTCACTTCTGTTTAGAAGAAGTGGGAGGCAAATGTGTCATATGTCACACGCACAGCAAGCCTGCATCGAACCCTGATGTTGGTCCGCCCGTGGCTTCTCGCTACCACGAAACCTTAGCAGTGGATTGACATGAACTAGAACTAAATGGGTAATACTTCCACGTTATTGATCATTGAATTTGTTTCAATGCTGTCACCTCCAAGAAGCCGAGTGTAATAGTGAAACAGTTAGTTTTGTGTCCTTGGCCCACTCAAATGGCTTTTCAGTGACAATAAGGGCGAGTTAAATAATGAAATAAGAGACATGGCATAGAATTTTAATACTTAGATAAACACCACGGCTGCTTGGAGTAATAATGGTTTGCTTGAGTTCCATAACCAAACATTACAAAGATCCTGTTGAAAGTTAAATTTGACCACAGATGTGACTGGGGAACAGCCCTGGATTGGGCACTCGTGCCAAAGAACACAATGCAGAATGTACACCATGGCTTCAGTCTATGCTGGGGTCACCGAGGTGGTTAAAACGTTCCTCTGTGGAAGGATCTCTGGGGGTGGAGTAGATTTTCACGGAGTTCCTTAAGGCTCTGGATCTTGTGGCGCTATACTGTATACCCTCGGCAGTGTGGTCGAGGGGGTATGGGAACTTGCCCAACTCGTCTACATGTGTTTTGTGGACTTGTAGAAGGCATTCGACCGTGCCCCTCAGGGAGTTTTGTGGGGGTTGCTTTGGGAGTACGGGGTACCAAACTCCCTGATATTGGCTGTTCATTCCCTGTACGACCGGTGTCAGAATTTTTACCACATTGCCATCAGTAAGTCGGACTCATTTCCAGTGAGGGTTGGACTCCGGCAAGGCTGCCTTTTGTCACCGATTCTGTTCATAACCTTTATGGACAGAATTTTCTGCCGCAGCCAAGGCTTTGAGGTGGTCCGGCTTGGTGGTCTCAGTATTGTAACTTTGCTATTTGGAGATGATGTGGTACTGTTGGCTTTATCAAGCCGCGATCTCCAACTCTCATTGGAGCGGTTTGCAGCCAAGTGTGAAGTGGTTGGGATTAAAATAAGCATCTTCAAATCTGAACCCATGGTCCCGCGCGCGCGCGCGCGCGCGTGTGTGTGTGTGTGTGTGTGTGAGAGAGCGCGAGAGAGAGAGAGAGAGAGAGAGAGAGAGGCTTCAAATACAGTTTTTAATCCCAAAAGATTACTGTTGAGCATAAAGTCGGTCTAATGTTGACCTAAGCACTGCCAAGACATTAAAAAAACATCTGCCAACTTACCGCAGGAGTGGGCTGAAATTTTGACGTTTGGCCAGACACAGACAACCAACGCATGCTAAAGCTGTTGTTTTATGAAGTCTGAAATGTTAACACGATTCGAACACCTCTCTGTCCTCCATTTTCAAGACACCTCGAAAGGTCTGCAAAAAATGTTGGGTGTGGTCATGTGACTGCCTGATGCCATTTGATTGGCGAAATAGAGTCAAACTTCACTCGTGGTCAGCACCAAATGCGAAAGTCTCTCTGATGAGCCAGAACCAGAGAGAGTGCAACAAGTTATTGGCTGGTAAATAAAACTAGTGTGCGGAATCAAGCTTAATGTAGCAGAGTAAAAGTACCGTATCTTCCAAACGTCAATACTTAGCTAAAAGTTAAACACAGGTTGCATTACAACTACCCAAAAATGTTCTTGAGTAACTTTAACGGAGTAATTGTTGCGCGTTATTTCCCACCTCTGGTTTGCAGAATAGTTAAATGCCCTGGGTCTTAGCTGCACATCCCAATAGCACAAATGAAAATCCGGGCACTTTAAACCGCCACAGTCATACAGTGGGCATAAATGATGAGAACAATTGAAGTCTCGATCTTTTTTTCCATGTAAATCTTCTCAACAGCTTCCTGATTTGTATAAACGGCACAAGAGTAGGTGGTTGTGGAACCTTCTGGAATACATACTGTAGAGACATGTAGGTAGAATATTTACTTTAATAATATTACTTATCCCAATCATGGGTATTGTTACTGGCATCCAGCTATCAATGGAGTCGTTTTATTTCTGTCACTGTGCAATCATTATATGTTTTCACAATTTGATTAGGATCAGACAAGATTTGTCTTCTTAGATCCTAAAATTCCATTATTATATTACCGGTATGCTTGTGGAGGCTCTCAGCTTTTTAGCGCAGAGCAACTTCCCGGAGTCTTCACGGAGACTTCAGGGTTGTCTACCGCTGACGAAGCTTCTGTGATAGAAGCGAAACGTCCTTTTTTGCTTTTTTTTTTTTTTTACCCACAGGTACAGATGACGACTGACAGAACCCTTTCTACGATATATTACCGGTAAATTGTAATGCCTCCGGAATTGGGTTCATCATATTTGTGTTCACTAGTGAGAGGATTTAATGTACATTATTTACACCCCAATATGTCGCTAAATGATGTTACAATTTCGAAAATATATTGTAAAGATATGCTCACCTTTAACAGCATTACATCGGCAAATAGTGTGATTATGTGTTCAGTCGGCTCAACCGTTTGACCAACAAGGCGAGGGTGTGAGTGTACTGCAATTGCCAGTGTCTCAATGTTTTTTTTATGAGTGTATTGAATAATTTTAACCAACTCTCGGGTTGTTGGCACACAACTGCTGCTGTTCTATGTTGCTGCTGCCTTTGTAAGTTACTCACTATTCAAAGATTTTTATTTGATTTTATTTTTTTGAACAATACTGCAGGGATGAGATTTTTCCGCGTTTTGGCGGAATTCCACTTTTTTTCCAGTCAATTTATATTGTTCCAATCCGTAAAAAAATTCTGGGGGGGGGTCCGGACTTGTCTTCGGCAGATTCGGGCTCGTAATGTTTACAAGTAACGTTTCCAAGCATCCATTTTGAATCCCGTTTTTTATCGCGAAGCGTTAGTTTGTCGTTACTTCCTATATGGGCTAAAACCAATGTCTTACTTGTGATTGGTCGCTATATCGGAAAATGCAAATCACAACCAATCCGTGTTCGCCTTCCGAAACCCCTTTCTCGCGAATGCCGAATGTTATCGAGACTCGCGGCGAAGCTAAAGTGCGTCAGATAGATGCGGATCTAAAAAACACATTTCAATGGGACTGGTTGGATAGAGAGCTGACGGTGTCCCCAGTAGGAAACAGTAAAGAGGAACCATTGTGCTTGTGTCGGATTTCGTGAAAAAGCTCGATGTCGCCGGTAAAACTCTGTATACCAGGGGTCCCCAACCTTTTTTGCCCCACGGACCGGTTTATGTCAGACAATATTTTCAGGGACCGGCATTTAAGGTGTGGCGGAAATAATACAACAAAATAATATGGTATGAGCTGCATGAAAACTGTGGTGTTTTCGAAATATAATAATAAACACAAGGAGCGTCTAATCTGGCCGCAACACTCTGATCGCTATGGTAATGTTTAATGCCTTCAAAATACGATACAACGCAAATTCAAAGTGCATGAAAATGACCACTCACCACAGCCCCGAGCTTGATTTTCTGCAACAAGATGATATGGCAGGGAATGTGTTTCCTTTTTTAGTTTTGATTTTGAGCAGCAAATTTGAAGTTACATATTGGTGCTCACCAGGAATGCATAAGCAAATTTGCACTAATTTTCACTTGAAAGAATAGTGAAAAATCTTGGGATTTTTTTCTGTTAAAGTTTCAAATAGTGTGTAAATTGAATCCACTTCATCTTCAGCATGTTAAGTGCCACTTTAGTTAGTGGCCCTGCCCCCGTCCCGGCCACGCCCCCGTCCCGGCCACGCCCCTTTCCGCTTTTTTCATCACTAGCCACTCTCATCCCTGATACTGATTGTTTTTTTTTTTTTTTCCTTTTCTTTATAGCTCAGAAACAACTGGACTCCAAAAGTGTGCCACTTGGTGAATCTAGCGGTGTGAAAATCCCACATCAAGCGTTTCTTTTGGATCCGTCCTCCGTGAGCTCAGTGAGGCAAACAGATCGACTGAGCTACCATGTTCGAAACTACCCACCAGTCCCGGAGCGGCAGCCCTTGTCTTTGCTTTCGCCGCCTTGGTTGAACGATTTGCGGCTCCCGAGGTGCCTTTCTCCAATCAAGCCATTCCCTTCAGTAGGAATGAATGACCCAGTCGCTCGTAATAGTCAGTTGTCTCACTGTGCAAGACCTTTGCTCCCAGAACATTCTGGATTACTGTTTTTTCCACTTGCTCACGGAGAACATAAACAGCCCCCTTTATTGAAGGCACATCGAAACTCCTGGCCAATGCAATGCCTGAAAAAGCCGGTATATGAACCACAGCAAAGCCGAAGCTGCACCCGACCTTGTATTAAAAACAGGGTGAGAGTGTGTCCAACTGCTGCTGAGAGGAAATCCTACCCCCAGAAGATAAAGAAAACTTCAGTATGTAAAAATGCTATTGCTATGGATGGTAAAGCACCTCCTAAAAAAAGGAAAGTCAGCATTGATTATCCACAAGATGCCACCGGTTCAATCTGTGATAGAATTAAAAGTAGAAAAACCATGAGCATTTGCTCAGTTAGTATGTCACGAAACAATGTCCTGGCAAAAGAAAGAAATATGGCCAAAGGTTCTGAAAAATCACCACCCATTTGTTCGGCCAAACAGAACCAAGAGTCAACCACAAAGAACCACCTGAAAGAGAGAAGCAGAACCACTGTACCTTCCAAATCGGTGAGCTCATGTCAAACCCGCCTCAAGACCAGGGCGTTTTTGAAAACAACTCAAGCGCCTTCAAGTGTCACATGCCCACAAACAATCCCAGATACAAACTCTGAGGCCCTGAGACCTTCTGTTGCATCGAACCAAGTCTGTCTCTTCAAGCGGAAACGTGGGAGAACGTCACAAAAGAGGAAGGCATGTTTTTCTCCAAACACTGCCCCTGCAGTCATATCGAGTGACAACCAGAAGAACATTGAAGAGGAATTGTCAAAGATCGACCTGGGAAAGAGTAATGTAGCAAAAGGAAAAAGAGCCAAAATGAGGAATGGAAAAGGAGAGGAGGTGGTTACACTGAAAAGGGTTAAAAGCGCTGCTCAGCCTGGTGATAACAATAAGCCCAAACGAATGGTTGCTTTCAAGGAATTACAGACGTTTCTGAAGGCCCACAACTTAAGAAAGCAATCAAATGAAAGCCGAGATAATCATAAAGACGTTGACGTTATTGAGCTTCAGGAAGAATCCTCTGCCAACGTCGGTGTTGCCGTCGATCAAACTGGCAGTCCCATTCTCAACGAATCGACCGAGGAGAAAGACTCGGGGAGCTCTTCTCGAAAGGCTGTCTTAAGTGACGCTCATCCTTCGGTGAACGTGGTCAAGAGATCATTTCCTCAACAGTCCGAGGGGGACCAAACACAGACGACCCACATGCAAGGTACTACGATACATGTTTTCGGTGTTTTGCATTCCGATGTGTTCGTTGTAAAAGTCAAGGTGGTGAGGAAAACTAGAAGAAACGAATTGGTGTCGACAAAGACCAATGTAGTTGAGATTTTGTGGAAAACATTTAATGTGGAGGTGTCAAAATGAAATGATTCATTTAGAAATTAATCATCAAACTAAATGACGACAACTTTGAGAATCCATTATTCGTTTAGAGTCACTGTTTGATTGAAATAAGTCAATCCTCTGATATTAGCCCCTGGACAGTAAATATTCATACGACAAAGTTGAGACAGGAGCATGTTTATCACTGTGTTCCATCACCTTTTCTTTTCACAATTTTAAATACATGTTTGGCACCAATAGTTGAAGCTTTGCAGCTGGAATTCTTCCCAGTCTTGCTTGATGGACCACTTCAGTTGCTCAACAGTCCAGAGTCTCCATGTCATATTTTGCCTCTCATAATCAGGGCTCCAGACTGCCTCTAAATGGTTGCATTTTGTCCCTAAAATATGAGACAGTTGCGATTAACTTTTCGTCCACTCATGCAAGCGCAAACCGTAAATTATATGGATTTATTTATTTATTTATGAGAGGGTGGGCGGGTGTCAAATATTTTTTGTTGCTGACACGCTTCCACATTTTGGATCAAAAGACTTGAATGAATGGGGGTCAGCCTCATGTCGCAAGCATCGGATCGCCGGACCGCCACTTTGGATTGATTGCAGTGGCAGCAGTACCACGTAAAGCAGCTGAGGTGTAAAGTGAAGCCCTGCGGTGTAAAGTGAAGCCCTGTCGCCAGATTGTTGTGTCCAATAATACATGGACAACAAACAACTGCATGTTAAAGATTACTGTACCACATTCATCATGGGCGTTTTAGAACAATGCACACCAACACAAGACATTTTATGGCACTGTGTCATTTGTTTATACAGTAGTACCTCTACTTTGGAAATTAATTGATTCTGGAAGAAATTTCTTAACTAGAACATTTTGTAAGTAGAGACGCGTTTTCCATGTAAATGCCCTAATTTGTTCCAAGCCTCCCCAAAATTCAGACATAATGTTTCCTGAAGCATAAAAATGCATCACAAATACATGTTACAATTACATCATTGCACAATAAATGAGAGTTGTTCATAATGTAAAAAACGAAGAAGAAAGAATAAAAATGATGGTCATTTAACTTTTAACTGCATCCTCAGCATTTTTTTTGCCCTCTTTAGTTCATGCTCTCTCTCAGAAGTGTTTTTTTGCCTGGCATTTTGGAAAGAACTGATCCAAGGACGTTTGCATTTGTCGGCTTTTATTTTAACAATCCTTTGAAAATGTGCAAAGCAAACATCAGCATAGTGAGCGATCGCCCGACTGTTGAACACTTTTTCTGGGTAATTCACATTTACGTAAAACTATCGGAACACCTCGTGCCCCGGGGGGCGAATGACTAGCGTGCTGCATAGACACATATGTATCTATCTACACGCATAGACACATATGTTCGAGGTCCCTCTTAGCCAATGGGATGCCAGGATGATGCTCGGTAATAGCCAATGGCAGAGCAGCTCTAAGTATGTTGCGTTCAGGAAACTCGGAGCTGCGAGTAGCAGACCATACTGTATTTCTACCTTTCATATCTTGAAATTTCTTTCGTAACAAGAGGCAATATTTTTCCGTTGAGACGTTTCGTTTTGTAACTTGAACATTTTGCATGAAGAGACATTCGGAAGTAGAGGTAACACTGTAAATAATGTATAGAATAAATGGTTCAAATGGCAGTCATACTAGTTGCAATTTAGGTTGTAAAGTGACGAAATTAGAAATATTACTTTTTTTGAGGGAACCACCCCGTAACATGAAATTATTACTAAAGTAGTTTGCCAAGAATAACAATTTTCAATTATACGATAACAAGCAAATGTTTTTTGTACACTACAAGAGCCTACATTCCTTGAAAACTGGATGTACTACCAGATATTTTCGATGGTATTTGTCCATTGGTTATACTTGTTTTGTATTTTTATTTACCATACTCTATATCCTTTTTCAAGGGGAAAGTCAAGTCAAAACATTTCTTAATGTTTTTTTTTGCGGTCCCACAGCTCCAAACCCTGCATTCTGTTCATATTGCGTTTGTGGAATATGAATTAGGCAACAAATCCGCCCACAGTTCGAAAACATGTTCATTTTTCTCAGTAGTCCACACTCGTTTTTTTTAACTCCGAGAGCCTGCTTTATTCTTGACGATGTTATGAATCTTCACTCTTCATCTGTGAAAAAATGACGAGCCACATAGATGCAAATGTTGAATGTGCAAAGTTGTAAAATGCATTTTAAAAAATTATTAGTTTACTAATATAATGTTGCCCGCAAAGGGAAGAACACTCTTGTGCAAAGTGCACAACGGTTTCAAGTTGGATGTTGGCCAGCGAGAGTAAACAGTCGCTGACGTTGGTATATCGACCGTCTGAAAGGAGCAATTCAACATATGGGAATCAATGCATGAGGAAGGCAAAACCAGTGGCCACTGCCGTTGCAAATTAACTTTGTTTTATACAAAAGTCACCAGCAAAGTTGACTGCTTGTTCTCTTTTGATTTGCAGAATTGAATTCTGTTGTGGTGCCACCTCAAAATGACAATCCAGGCTGCTCTCCTAGCGACAGGCAGCCATGCCGGCAAAATCAAATGCCTTTGGAGCCCAACGTGAACCCCCAAATCGGTACATGCCTATCTGCTGCCACTGGGTCGCCAAAGAGCCCAGAAGGCAGCAAAGAAGAGATAATCGAGGTAGACGTGTTGCTCTCCTCCCCAGAAAAAATGCCTTTCCCCGGGCACCGTGAGTACTTAGTCATCGACACTGATGCCACACAAAGTGACGAGGAAGGAGAAATTGATGTGACGGGTGATGAGATAGCCTGACGTTCATATGAGTGCATACTTTTTTGTTGTTGTGTGAGTAGAGGTCATTCCTAGTGTTCTCTGTGTTGTTGGACTTTTACTTCTATTTCATGCCTGTCAGATGTCGAATTTAGTGACTCTTTGTATGATGGGCTTTTATATATATATCCTGTTGTGTGTTTTTGTTTGAGAAATATGGCAACACTAGAATCTCACATTTTCTTTGCAGTTTTGTTTCCATTCCCTAATCTGCAAAAGCATGTAAAATGTTGCTTGTTACGTGTAAAAATAGTTTTGTTTGAAAAGTGGTTAGGTACTGAAATAATTTTCCATACTAATACTGTATGTGGAAAAAAATTAAGCCTGTATTTACAAAATCCCACTGTTAATAAATTTTGTTATTGTTAATTGCATAGTGTTGATTTACTTGTTTGCCGAAGTGATTTACAGTCTACTGTATTGGCTTTCTCGTACTGAAATTACATATTGAGCACAATAGAGGGCGCGCTGCCTTTACTCGTCTACATTTGAATTGAACTTTATTGACAACGGAAGTGGTGGCGGAAATGTGAATGCACGTGTGTGGTTCTGGCTTGAAGGTTATGCAAACCTCACCGGCAAGGAACTTCGCCACTGTCCAGGGAGAGCAGGTCATTACGACGGTGTGTTTGTGGTCAGAAAGACAGCGGTCTGCACTCCAATACGGTCATGGATCCCTTGAGGGCTCAGCAGCTGGCGGCGGAGCTGGAAGTGGAGATGATGGCTGATATGTACAACCGGTAAAGTCGCAATAAGCTAGTGAGAGCTAGCTGTGTTCATTCATTGAAATATTGCTCTCCCGCTTAGCATTGAGGTGATAAGTTATTAAAAGAACCAATGCAGCAGCGTAAGAGGAATCACTTCGAAATACTGGCTGTAAAATTGTTTATGCACCGGGTCTAAACTGTCGACACGGGTCAACATTTTCCGCACTTGTGTTCACGTTAAGCACGACAAAGAAAGCGTATTGTTCAATAATAATCATTGAAAGCACGTGCAATAGACACATGGTTGATCACCACGACACATGCTTCCTTGGTTCTTCAGAGCACCGTAATGAACGTGACAGCTGTTATTAAAATAATTAGGTAATATAATACAAAGTTCACATATCACAATTGCACAGAATGTGGCCAAAATGTCCAGCGATATCCTGGCATCCGTATCTTCGTTTTGCAGATATCCTTTACCGTATATGTATCGTGTGGGAACTGAATGCTACAGAGGCGTCCTCACGATTAACATAGTTACTCCCTAGCAATAACGCTTCTGTACACTACAGCGTACGCATGCTTATCGACCGTTACATTTTTCCAAATTACATTTCAGTCCAACTTGGAACTACGTCATGATTTTAACCCCAATACCAACAAAAATGTACACAAATCGGTGCCATAATCGATCACCAATAAATGTTAACGAAGCAGTAAAGCCACTCAATGTATTCCCCGAAAGTACAGTGTGTGCGCCAATCTGGGACACTGCTCCAATGGGATCTGCCGGTTAATGTGCAGTACAATACTGACAATTTGGGTGACGCTGCAATTTGTGTACGCCTACCAAACTTTTGGTTTAACGAATCACGGCAACGGACGAAGATGTAGTCACTGGCATGTGCCTTGTTTTGACCAGCCCCGTCCTGTTATCTCGATGATTGGCACAGATAGCATCATAGCGTTGAGTGACAATTGTCTTTTTTTCCAATGTAGATATGCAGACAAAGGGCGATATTATCTATTTATTTAATCGCAGCGTCCTTGCAATTGTCTGTAATATGCCAGTTTGGTTTGCTAGTTTCTTCCGCCCACTGCGCTTCTTGTTTTCCTCACAACCGCATATCGCTCCCCCATTCACTGTTGCTTTGTGATTGGTCCGACCCTCCAGTGGCGCCACTCAGAGAAAATGAGCTGGCTCCGGACAAGTTGGATTCTCTGGTTTTTGTGAACTTGCAAGTACTATGAGAATTCAGCTTGCAGGCAAGGTTAGTGCAAAGATGCAGGGCCATTTATTTTCCTCGTAATGCTGTGGGGTATGTGCAAGCGCAACTTGCTCATGCACATTAAGGATTTAGCCTACAAGTACATTCAAACATATTTGCAAATAGGTTCAACCTAGTTTTCCAGTCAAACATGATTACTCCCCATTGTTAGATCCATACTTCCATGGAATTTGCTGAGCTGTCTGGTTGAACATTCTTTCAGGCCTTATAAAGTGATTCAAATGAACATTATCTGTGGTCCATCATATTTAAAAAAAAAATAAATACACCCAGACTTAACTGTAAAGACAAATGTCTAATGCAACGATGATTTTAGTTGCTGGTGTACTTTGCATATCTCACTAATCAATACCACTTTTCACCGGATGGTAAAAAGTTAAGACCCCAAATCATAATAGCTCAAATACACTCTTCATTTGCAGAATGACCAACGCCTGCCACCGAAAATGTGTGCCCCCACATTACAAAGAGCCGGAGCTGACGAAGGGCGAGTCTGTGTGCCTTGACCGCTGCGTGGCCAAATACCTGGACCTCCACGAGAGGCTGGGACGCAAGCTAACGGAGCTCTCGGTCCAAGATGAGGATATGATGAGGAAAGCAGCTGTCGGCAGCGGATAGCAACACCAAGAACAGGACAAGATGCCAAAGACTTTAAAAAAAAAATCTATAATGGCAACGGAATTAGCGTGTGTGGATGGATATATATATAAGGAAGAGTTTTGTTTGGGTGGTGTTTGGGCGAACACATCAGAATTTAAATTCATTTGGGTCCAGTGGGACAAACTGTTGGCTGCTTTCAAGGATTACATGAAAGTGTCTGAGCATTTTGTACACCTTCACATCCTTGAGAAACAGTCTTAAGAGCCTCTCTGGAGGTGGACTAATATGTCCGACCAGGCCTGGTCCTTCAAAGTGGAGTCCTTGGATATGTTTGCATTTATTATTTTAGTTTTATGTCATTTTTATTTTTTACTTTGGCTGATCAGTCCTACATAGACTTTGAATTTCAGTAATATATCAGAAACAACAGTTTATCTTTAGTTCAAGGCTTACTGTATAGTTTCCGTTGACCTGCTTGCAGTTGCAAGTTAATCACCTGTCAACTTTCACCACAGCCAGTAGCAATCAGGACCCTGTTCATGATGAGAAGTTAGCTTCTCCTCTTCTAACACGGCATGCTTAACATATATTTTTACTACCCCCGTGGGTCATTTTTAAGCAACCTAGGGCCCCGTGATAGGCGCTACAGTGGACGTCTTGTGTTCGCAAAAATAGTTTTCATCCTGGCAAAAAATTATAATGCATGGGGGAGGGGGCTTTGAAAAACACTGTGATTATGCGGGGTCCACTGTATATATCGACATTATTTCATTTGACTTAAAAACTATTTAAAGTGCATATACTAGGATAGAGTGAGTTAAATGTGAAACATTGTCCGGTCTTTGAAAGCAATGTGAGGATTATTGAACATGTGCTTGGTAGTTGAACAGTTGTCTGTGGGGAAAAAAAAAGCCTCAAAACACACACACAAATGTTGGGAGACATTGAATTATGTAGGACATTGCTACCTTCCACACATTTTATCATATACCTGTACAGACTTTACTCTGTCACTCTCGTCTATATTGTGCTATAAGTGGACCGTGTATTTTATTTTATTTTTTTAAATTTCCATTTCATTTTGTGTGTTGCCTTTAACCTCCCCGTCAGCCGTCCGACTACATATCATCGGGGCTGCAATGTTTTTTTTTCCCTCCTAACCCGAATAAAGCAATTTGATTATTTGGTGGAGTAAACATGAGTGTTAGCAATAAACGTTGAAGCGGATATTGGAACGATTATTCCAGCCATTGAGTGAGGCGGCAAATTTGTGCCTGGCCCTTTAAAATAAACACGAGCAGATTGGGAGGAAGTGAAGAAAAAAGTGGCTTTCGGTTCCTCTCGAAACTCCTGTAAGTATATACCTGTGGCCCGCACATTGGAAAACGAAAGACTAACCTATCCGCTACGTGTAAGGAGAGGCTCAGTACTGGTGCTTGTCCCTTAGGTGGGCACTGGACGTCTTCACGCTCCGCGCGACTCGATTCGTCAGACATGGTAAGTGGCTTGCTGCGTATGACCAACCGTCACTTGAGGTGAGAGTGCACGACACGATGGGATGTTCGTTTTAGTACTGTACATCTCGGCATTGGAAAGCACACGCTTTTGCTTTCTGTGCTTGACATAAACCCCAGGCAGCAGTTGTGTTTTAACCGTTTATAATTAGAGTACCCGATGCTAAACTTGTAAAGTTGGCAATAATCATTTAAAGATTTCGCAGGTAACAAGCCGTTATTTGACTATTTTAATCCAGCCTTAAAATGGTATGATTTTAATTTGCTTTTTAAAATCACGGCCATATTTTAAATAGTAGTAGTACTTATGCACTGAAGTTGTATACAGGTATTTCATAATCTCAACATACATGTAGCACAGTTAATAATTTTTTAGCTGCCTAGAAGAAACGAAATGAGCAAGATGTGTAAATGTTTCAAATTTCAATGGGGGGCTCATTAAAAGTATTGTTACATCAAAGAATTTATAAGATTTGAGTGAAACGACGGAAAAGAAATGAACAAATTCATTGCAATGGGGAAGTTATACAGAGAAGTAAGAATAATTTATTAAATGACAAGGAAGGACAGGGAGGAACTATAGTACCGTAGCCTATGTGATATGCAAAAAGTAGAGAAACATTCGGTATTCATCAGGACTGAAACCTGTATTTCCCATTGAATCTGACGTCTTTATTTTGCAAAGACGTATTTTGAACTTTCTCTTTGTGGAAACAATTTGGGGAAGGTCTTTTTCTCTTTCGCCAATCCAGTACTGTTGAAGGGTGCAGAAAGCAAGCTCCATGAATTTGATGTGGAAAAAGTTGCTCGGAACCCTGACCTAAAACCCATGGCAGAAATTAATCACTTCAGAAAGAGAGGGCGAGTTATCAGGCATTCTTCCAGCTCCCCACAAAATCCCCAGTCGACTGCGGCCATCTATGCATTTTCCGAGAAGAGTAGAAAATGTTTTAGCTGTCCCCCCCATCCCCCACACCTAAACATTCGGATTAATAGTGCATTATTTGTGGAATATGAATTGAGCAACTAAATCTTACTGCCATTTTGCTTGCTTGCACTTGATGTCAACTGAAAATGACATGACTGTTGCTCACGACTTACCTGTTTTCTGAGTTTTGGTCATTTGACAACCGCACACCACAAATTCTTTTTTCCCCTTAGAGACAGAAAAGAATGTGAAAACGGCAAAGAGAAATCATTGTATTCAAATTAGGTGCGCTTAGGGAGTGACAGCGCAAAATTGGCCACCGCTGGCATCACTCCAGGCTACGGTGAATCAGCGGCTTTATTAGTCCATTCATATAAAAGTCTGTGGTCCATCGCAAACGTTTTGCGCGGCCAAATCAGAATTTTGTCATCGTTTGAGATGGCACAGATCAATTTTACTCATCAATAACTGTACACTATTTATCCCGATCATCTGAAAACAGATATAGGTACTGTATATTTTGAAGTATTTTTATGACAACATTTCATTTTCATTACCTCATCAATATTTGTGCCTTTCGCTGCGACTCAGGTTCGTGGTAGGGCAGCGCCCAAGTACCTATTGACGAGCTACCGCTGACAATTACACTCAACATGTAGAAATAATTGAAAACTTAGTGAGGCCAAACAAATTGAATTCTCAACAACGGCCTTGGCGGCTTGATTACAAGCCCGCATTTCACTTTTAACTGATGACAAAAGTGAAAGCAGCAAGAGGCACAATCAAACAAGCGAAGGTGACTGCACTGAAGGTCTGGCAAAGTATTGCCGGGGAGGAAACTTACAATTTGGTGATGTTCATCAACTCCAGATTTCAGATGTCAATGGCCGCAACTAATAAAAAACACGGTTAAATTCACAGTCGAATGGCCAAACTTTTAGTCACTTCAACAGACCAAGAAATCTTTGCCTTCCTCCCACCACACACACACACACACACACACACACACACACACACACACACACACACACACACACACACACACACACACACACACACACACACACACACACAGAACCTGTATAAGAAATGTATTTCATCTGCATTTGCCTTTGTAGTTTTTTTTTAAGGAAATGCTACTGTAATACATCATCAGTAAATCAAATTAAGGTCATTTTGCAACCAAGTCCATCAATGTTTGATCATCTGGCTCATGCCTGTCCACCTTTTGTGGGGACCTGAACAAGGGGTAGGACTAGATACGTTTTCTCCTTCTTACTCCCTTTTGAACATATAAATTGTGCTTGGTGATCACCATGTATGTTTTCTCTTCTTCTTTTTATTTCTTACGAAAATAATTTCTGTTCCGTACTTATATGTTCAATTAAAAAAAAAAACAAAAAAAAATCAAGCAAACGTGAAATTGCGGACATGAATAGACATTGTGCATGTTTGGGTCATCAAATGAATCAATCACATTCAAGAAGTAGTTACCCTGATATTAGCAAAATATTTGGAATCCAATACAGAACATATTGTTTGTAAATAAAGATTTCATTGGACAGTACACGATTACAGCGAGTGCTTGCAATGCTCATTAATTTGGTGTTGTATTCCTTGTGGTCACCAGATGGCAGCCATGAATCTGGAGGAAGAGTTAAACGAAACAGATCGGATTTTAGCAACCCCCAATGGCGCTGCGAATGAAATGCTGGATGTGGGCCAAGAAGACAACATGCAGGGCCAGGTGAGCTTTGTGCTACACAGTGTTTTATCAAACCTTCAATATCTAGTCCTTGTGATAACCAGACTTCGGGTTGAAGTAACTTTTTTCCTGCAGGTGATGCTTCTGTTTTAATTTCTTGTGGTCTGATCACATTTCACCACTGTTTCCCAAAGATGGAGGAGTTTTTGGGTCCACAGGCAGAATACAATGAGGAGGAGGAAGAGAGAAAATACTACAGGAGAAAGCGATTTGGAGTTATCAAGAATGTTCTCGCAGCCAGCGTTGGAGCCATGATTATGTACAGTGTGTACATGGGTAAGAAGGCACTGTCATAGTTTGACGTGCGTCCGGAGACGCGGCCACAAACTCAGTTGTATATTTTGTGATTGTGCATTCTCCAGGGTTACTGCAGATGCAGCTTATCCTTCATTACGATATGACTTATCGCGAAGTAAAGTACAGCAACCTCGGTCTCGAAGACATTGATCGGAAGATGCTGAGGGGAATCAACGTCACGCCCATATTAGGGCTGCTGTACACCCCCATTCTCATCAGGTAGATGTACAACAGCTCATTTCATCAGACAGTGGTGCTCTGATAAACCATCTCAACCTAATGTCTTCATCCAAGGTTTCTTGGAACAAAGTGGATGATGTTTCTGGCTTCCGGAATCTATGCCTTTTTTGTCTCGACCAATTACTGGGAGCGGTACTACACCTTGGTTCCGTCTGCTGTTGCCATCGGTGTGGCCATTGTGCCACTCTGGGCCTCCCTTGGAAATTATATCACAAGGTGAGAAAGGGCAGGGATCATAAAGCGCATTTGTTTACCTGCGCTTTTCGGACAAAAGTTGGAAAACCCGCAACCCTTGTAAGGATCAGCATTTCAGATAACGGATGGAAGGAGGGACATTATGTGTGTCATCACGAGCAGGTAGTACGCAGGTCCCCTTTTGTGGAACGTGTCGAATCACTGAATTGAATAATTCGGCACTGGCTTCAACTTTATAGTGTTATTCACTACAGTACATTTGTTCAGTTGTATTTCACTTTTGAGGTCAACATATTTGCATTCATTCTTTATAACTTTGTTTTCAAACATTTAGTGAAGTAAAATATGATTTCACTTCCATTTTTATATGATTTGAGAAACACTACCTTTGCACCGAAGACCCCAAAAGATTATTTGTCACTAGTTGTACTGTCACAACACACACAGGATGGCGCAACAGTATTATGAATACGTCAACTATAAGGAAGAGCATGTACAGGAGCAGAAGAAGATCCCAAAGGGAGTGTGCCACAAATACATCATCATCTTCCAGTCAATCTTCAGTGTCATCTTCCATGTGAGTTCCTCCGCCACTCATACAAAAATGTGACATTCAGTCTGGACATGCATAAAATATGAAGAATATTTCCCATTTTAATGTGCTTCAAAACAGCACAAATGATCATTATCCTCCAAGGCAATAGCTTATTAGGACTCTGCAACCACTGTATATCAAACATAAATAAATCAATCACCTTTTGGGACGATGAAATGGAAGTTTATGACCTTGCAGCCTTTTCCAAGTAGAGGAAGCAAAATACCTCAATCGTACTTGTACTTATAGATGACAACATACCAGAGAACACATTGATTAACTGACAAAGACGCCATTTGACAATAAAATGCAAAGCGATGACTTTACAGTTAACCGAAAGGCTCCACAAAATACTGGATCCAGCATAAGCCGACAGTGGGATGATGCATCCTTGCGCGGCAGATGAACTGAACAGGCACAAATGTGGCACCAATCAGTGTCTGATAATAAAAAATAAACACAACACACACAGGATGGCGCAACAGTATTATGAATACGTCAACTATAAGGAAGAGCATGTACAGGAGCAGAAGAAGATCCCAAAGGGAGTGTGCCACAAATACATCATCATCTTCCAGTCAATCTTCAGTGTCATCTTCCATGTGAGTTCCTCCGCCACTCATACAAAAATGTGACATTCAGTCTGGACATGCATAAAATATGAAGAATATTTCCCATTTTAATGTGCTTCAAAACAGCACAAATGATCATTATCCTCCAAGGCAATAGCTTATTAGGACTCTGCAACCACTGTATATCAAACATAAATAAATCAATCACCTTTTGGGACGATGAAATGGAAGTTTATGACCTTGCAGCCTTTTCCAAGTAGAGGAAGCAAAATACCTCAATCGTACTTGTACTTATAGATGACAACATACCAGAGAACACATTGATTAACTGACAAAGACGCCATTTGACAATAAAATGCAAAGCGATGACTTTACAGTTAACCGAAAGGCTCCACAAAATACTGGATCCAGCATAAGCCGACAGTGGGATGATGCATCCTTGCGCGGCAGATGAACTGAACAGGCACAAATGTGGCACCAATCAGTGTCTGATAATAAAAAATAAAAAAAAAAACATCTGTTTCTGAAATAAAACGCACATTCAAGTTGAAGCTATTTCACCAAGTTATGAATATAATAATTATTCTTTTAAAAAGTGATCTTTTATTTAGACACAAATAATACAATTTTGTTTTGCCTCCATCATCTACAACAGCTTGTCTTCCTTGTGTCTCTCACTAGCTGAGCTTCGTCTTTGCCGAGTTCCCCATGAGTCTCCTCCTCAATGGCTTCATTCTTGACGACAGTCACGTTCTCTTCAACGTCAAAAGCTGTGGTAAAGTCACATGGGTACACTGCAACATCATTGTAAACTTTGAGCTCAACATTATGTAGCGAGACAGCAAAAATACGAGTGTGTGTGTGTGTGTGTGTGTGTGTGTGTGTGTGTGTGTGTGTGTGTGTGTGTGTGTGTGCGCGCACGCGCGCGTTTGCTTCTCGCCGCAGACATTTGGCATTTTGTCGACGATCGGCATTTGCCTCTTTTAAAAATATGAAGGCCAATAAAAGATCAGTTTAAAACGAGGTTAGCTTCAGGGAACTATTGATGTATTCCTTCGTTTATTTATTTAATTATTCGCTTACATTTATAAGAATTCCATACACTTTTTATTTCTTTGAAAATTAATCGTTGGAAATTCTAAATAAAAATTTGAAATAAAAAGTTTTGAAATTGTGGAAAACTTAGTTGACAATAGAAACCTTTGGGGACTTACTGATTTGTTGAGAATTTCATTTCACTTGAGACATGCTGAGGGCAATGGGCGCTCTTGGTACATTTTGTTAGAATGTTAAATCAAAGCTTTCTCTTCTCTACATGTCTAAAACTAAAAGAAAAAACTTAAACGTTATTTGCACAAACATGTTTAATGGCATTTCACCAGGTTTTTTTTCTTTTCATTTTTAAATGCCAATATTTTCCCTTTTACAGTGGACCCCTGCTATTTGTGGTGGGATAAGAACCTGGGCAGCCAGCAAAGAGTGAAAATCCGTGTCTAATTAACACCCAATTAAATGTATTTTGGGGGGAAAAAAGCTTAGAAATATAATAACCTTTGAAGGCGGAATTTCCACCACACTATTTGACCAATAATCAAATACCTTGGCTGGCTTCCGTGGTGCTCGTTGATGGGCTCAGGAATGACCAGATGCACACGTCTTTTGAGTCAGTAACACAGAAAAGTATTTAATCCCTAACGAATAGTCTAATACAGCATAGCCTCCTGACTACCAGTAGTTCAAATTTGTCCTCTGTAGAGGACATTTGTGAACCTAAATATCTCCCACCCAGAGCATCCAATCGCATTAACTCCTTTTGTGCTCTAAAGAGTACATTCAGTGCTTTCCAATGATACCAAATTTGTAGGGGGTGGGGCTTTGTTACTTTGACTTCTCAATAGAAGAAAATGGCTTCCCTCAGTGCAAGCACTTTTTATGGGAAGAGGAAATGTAATAGTTTTTATCAAACACATTTTGTCTTGAAATGCTGTTGGCATTTTATTTATAAGACTCTTATGAACACGTTAAAGTGTTGTTTGAGTTGTTTTAAGTGTATTTGAGCCTAGTATTCAAGTGTTTAAAAAAAATGTAGTGGAATTTCAAAAATTTCTTTTGGAGTAGTCCAATTACTTCACATAGATTGGGGAATTTCAAAATAAATGTGATTGGACAACATTTTTTTCCCTGGTAGTCAGGAGGATAGATCAAGCCAATTATTTATTCTAAACAGAGCTCTGGGTCATCAACTTCTCCTAACCGCGAAGGTAGCGAAGCAGAGTGACCAAGACGCCTTTCCCTTGATCCACCTTTCATACAATTCCCCAACGGCATCTGTCAGATTAGGTGTGAATTGTCATTCTATTGTGAATCTTCCTTTGATGTGGATATGGTCTTCCGCATTTGGCCGTCTTTTGTTGTTGAAAGTGGCCGTCCTGCTTTGGGGGCCTTTTTCAGTGCCGATTGTGATCTCCAGTCCAGGGGTTCGGCCGGCGTTCCCCCTTGCTCGTGGCACCTTGGCACCCTCTGTTCCTCAATCACACCTAAATGCAAACAGTCTCTCATTTACACTCAGAAAAAAATCATTTGCAGTCACTCATTCCAAACCTTCACCCGAATCATCTATAACCATGAAAGGCCGCACTGAAACAAAAGCAAGTATTTTGTCACTGTATGAAAAACCGCAATACAGCAATATGAGAGCCTATACTGTGAATGAAAATCCCTTCACCCTGAACTTATTTTTTAAAATGCTGTTAAACATTCCATATGTTTCTTTATTTTAAAAAAATGGGGAAAACAGCACCCCCGCCCCCACAAAAAAAAAACTGGAAAAAAAAGGTAAAACTCGAATTAATATTGGCCCCCTTGATTTCTAATAATCAGGATCGGCCCTTAAAAACAAATTCGTCTATCAGTTTGCGCCTGTGTCAAACCACCCTCATGTAAAAACACACACTTTTTTTCATTCTCTCGCTGTTGTAAATGTACGGGGGTACTTAAAAAAATAAAAGATAACTGGATCGAAAATTGACTTGGAAGCACCCTGCTAGAATAATAATAATAAATAAATAGGCGAGTGAAACCGGTTGCTCGTAGCAAAATGAAACTAGATAGTCATGTCTGCCATGGGTCAATACGCATTCCACAGGTTACAAATGTACAACACTTACCTGTAAATTAATTAATACTGTAAATCTAGGGTATGTCTATTCCCCTCTGTTTTGCCCCCTAAATTGGTTCTGTCTCAGAGGACACGGTGGACAAGTGTATGCAAGATACGTACTGTACATATATGCATGTTTGGATTAGTTCGGTGTTGCAGAAATTGAGCTTCCTGACCTGAAGCCAATCAAAACACATTTAGAATGAACTACAGTAGTGGACTACTATTTGCATCGTCATCGAACATTTTTTGTGGAACACTTTTTCGACGAGTTTCCTCCTGAGGGAAACTGCGTCATATTATAGTACATCTCATGCATCCAGTGGCTCAAAATTCAATTTTGACTGCTCAGACTATTTCCAAAATCAAGATTTCTTTCATTTTTATAATTGGCGACATTTTAGTTAAAATGAATCTTCAAGGTTTCAGCTTGTAGTTGTCACTGTATGACATTCCTAACCTGGTATTCCAGATAGTCCTGGTTAAACTTTCTTGTCATCTGCTTCCCAGGGGCCAAAATCAGTGGTGTGATTCCAGGATTGAACACGACAGTGCTGAGAAGTCTACCCCAGTCCATGAAGTTGATCATCGTGGAAAGCGTGCTCATGGGCTTTGCTTTCCTGTCCATGATCATTGTAAGTGGTCTGACTTGTTACAAAGACCCCACAATCCACAGAGTTTAAATGCATTGTTCTTACTTCTGTTTCATTCGTTTACAACAACACACACTCTGACATCATGGAAAAACAATCCAACCTTTTAACCCTTTCACGCACCCTGATAACATGGTAAGCTGTCCCACTGGAGTAACCGCTGTCGCCGTAAGGGTTAATGAAGGAATAATAAGCTCTTTACGAGACCTAAATCGAATAAACTAGATCTTTAGACGCTACAATAATTGAGTTCATCATCATGCCTTTTTGCATATTGCAATTGAACTAGATGGATTGAATTTGAATTAGTCAATGATAATGCAGTAATATTTATTTCCTGATCTCCAGGTCATAGAGAAAATATGTATAATTTAAAGATGTGTGCCTGCACACGTAACTATGAGTACTGGTACACTACAAACAGTAAATCCCATAATTAGCAGAGCACCATTTTTCTGCACGAAGCAACATTTATGTGACAAATCAAGGGTTCATGGACTTCAATGATGGAGATAAATATCTTTTGATTAATTTTTCTCTGGCTTTAAAAATCTCAGTTTTTGTGCCCTTTGTCATTTTTTTTCTTTTTTTTTTTTTTTTAATATAAAGTACAATTGTTCTACCTCATTCAGTTCCTTTTGCTGTGTGGTGCTGCGTACCGCCCAACAGAGGAGATCGATCTGCGCAGTATTGGCTGGGGAAACATCTTCCAGCTTCCTTTCAAACATTTGAGGGACTACCGCTTGCGGCTTCTCTGCCCTTTCTTTGTCTACAGTGGATTGGAAGTCCTCTTCGCCATCACCGGACTTAGCCTGGTACTTAGCTGTCATCCAAATTTACCGTTAATTAATTTAGGTAGTACAGTGATAACTTGACTTATAAGTTTAATATGTTCCATGCTTGTAAATCAAATTGCTTCACGGTTTTTTGATTTTGTATTTTTCGCCACGCTTTGCACACATTCAGCACATTACAAAGGTCCACAGCAAAGAAATTATTTTAATCGGAAAAAATGGAAAATGCAAGCATAAAACTCAACAGACTCAGTGCTTGCTATGTAACCGCTTAAATTGACTGGACGTTGTGAGGTCCTCTGCCGCCATCTGGTGGCCATCTAATGGCAGCGTTTTGGAAGCTCACTCAAGTCAATTTTCTGTTTTAACTCAAGGCAAAAAATGGGCGAAATCTGGATTTGAAGGACTCCAAAGTGCCACTGTACTCGATAGAGTTGATACACGCGGAAAAGCACAATATCATGCCAAGTGTACATATATTAATCAATCATTTCTCTCCACACAGTCCTATGGCGTTTGTACTTTGGGCCTACAAAAACTGTGGCTCTTAATTGTGGTCTACGGGCTGTCGTGCTCCATCTTCTCCTTCCTGTCCCTCTGCCTCTTACGTCTCCCGCGGTGGGTGTGTCTGGCAGCAGGAGCCAGTGTCCATTTGGTGCTGTTGGTGGTACTCATGGTGTTTTCACCAACTCCTCCACACCATGAGTATGAGGCCCCTCTTCTGATCATTTCTATGCTGTGGGGGCTTGGGACGGCCCTGAATAAGACTGGAGTCAGCAGTGAGTAGCACCCGAGATGTGGTGGTACGTGCATGTACTGTGGATTACCATAGAAGCAGGCATATTTTCGGGTGTGTGTGTCTGTTTCAGCCTTGCTTGGCATTTTATATGCTGAGGAGAAGGAACGTCTGGACTTTGTCTACACGATCTATCACTGGTTACAAGCCATTGCCATCTTTGTAGTCTACCTCTGGTCAGAGTTGCCGATGAGGGTAAGTGACTATATCAGTGGTGGAAAGCAACAAAGTACAGATACTTTGTTTCTGCACTTAAGTATATTCGTCATGTATCCGCACATATCTTGATTTGTTTTACTGACAACTTTTTACTTTTACTCCTTACACTTGAGCTCGACGAGCTTTGCCTCATGTCTCCAAAATATTTCTACCTCCTTCCATCTCGCCTGGCAATATGAGGGATAAAATGAGTCGCTACATGTGGGACCATTTTTACTTCTGCGAACACCATGCCATGTGATGGTTTTTTTTTTTTCTTTTGGTTTGGTTTGGTTTTTTGTGCACTCAGTGTCGTGCTTTGTGTAAACGCGTGTCACATCACAGACGCACTCCATTCACATTAAAAGTCGCATCTGCACTTTGGTTCAACTGCTTAAGTAGTTCTTCTGCTTTTACCAGTGTCTTCATTTATGTATCTGTGTCTGAATTTAACTAGGAGGTGTGAGAATTTACGTCACATTTGTTGTATACAGTATATGCGACTATGTTTGTTTGGGTGACTGTGTGCTTGAGACCGTATTCGGGTATTTATCCTGAAGTGCAATAATATTCTCAATTAATGAAATGTCCATATTTGCAGTGTTGTATTCTTGTAAAGGTTTTTTTCATGCCGGGTTAGGTGTATTTGGGGAAGCAGAGTAACTAAAATCTACACGAACTACAACTCTAATTAAGAAAGTGAGAGAGCTGGATAATAGTGCCGAATGTTGTCAATTCTCACAGTTGCAAAAAGGGCGAGAAAATATGGTTCCACAATAGCCAACTCAAAGTAGGTATGTTTCACCCTTTGTTTTTAATTCATGCAGCATATCTTCTTTTTGTGTTAACAATCAGTTAAATCATTGCCCGGCCCATTCTTATTGAAAATGAAAGCCACACCAGTGAGTCAGTCACTTTGTTTAGAAAAAACTATGTACATCAGCATCAATTGCCCTTCCTCTGCCTATTTGAGGCTTTAGATACTGAGAGACAGTATATACTGATTAATTGGAAGTTTTCAGCAACATACACAAAACACAGCGTCTTCCAAAAATTGTCAACACATTTTCAAAGATTTGTGTTTTCAACTCCAAAACCTTCTTGGCATGAATCGGAGGGGGTAAAAATGTAGGGAAAGTGTTTTAGAAAGAGCCGACGGAAAATACATTATACTGTATTGCCGTTAATGCTGTCAATGACATGTCGTATTTTAATCCTGTCTTTCTCCCCACACAATTAAGGCTAAACTTGCCATCCTGCTTGCAACTTTACTGCTAGCTTGCTACTGCTACTGGCTGATGGAGCGCCGCCTTGCCAAGAAAGTGCGCCATAGGCTGCCCCGCATCCCTCGACCAAGACACAAGGTGACCAAACCAGTCCTGCATGTATTACACTGTAATCTACCAAAACACAAATTATTGCAGTTCATTATACCAAAGATATTTTCAATGTCCCTCAAAAATGTCACAGAATTCAGCAGTCTTTAAAGTAAACAAAATTACTTTAGACACAAAGACTAAAGTTGGACTAAAATACTTAACATGTTTTTGGTATTTGGGAGGAGGCCCGTAGTTTCTGGAGAAAATATTCCAAAGTGCAGGGCGAAGTTGGAAACAGCAAGGCCTGAGCTGAGATTCAAACCAAGAACCTCAACTGTGAAAGCCGACGCACTAACCACAAGAACAGGGATGTCAAACTTATTTTAGTTTGCGGGCCATATTCACCCTCATTTTATCCCAAGTGGGCCAGGCCTGTATATTTGTTGCTTAATAAGCCATAATGAACTATTTCAATTTTCCTTATCGTTTTAGTACAAATCATCATTAAAGTACATTTGGAAAATATTCACATTATTGATTATCTAGCTGCAAATCATATGAGCAAAATTAATTTCAGTGTGCCGTTTAAGTGGTAGATGGTCTCCAGTGGATGAAATTAGCAGAAGCAGTTCCATTTATTGACAAATAATGAATGAGTTCTCGATCTCTTTGGAACGGATCGCAACCCAGACGGGCAGCTTCTTATGGTTGAGACCCCTGCACGAGAGCACCCTTGCTGCCGAAACTCAAAACATATTTTTCAAAAATGGTTTTAGATATTCAGTTCATGTCGGCAGATGTGTGCAGACTCTCACTTAACATGGGGTTGATTGTGATTGGTTGATTTTGAACATAGCCACGCCCTAGTAATGAGAACTTGTGCAACCACATTCACTCTTTTATTTTGACTTCTTCTCTGTTAAAATAAATAAGTTGACTTAGACAGGTCACACAACTGGTAGTAAACACATTTTTCAGATTTATTTTTGCTCTCCTTTTTGATGTCACAAAAACCTAGCATTTGAGCCGGGATTTGTGTTGACTTTCTATAGCCACCTTATGAGCAGCATGATTTTTTTATCAGGTGAAATTTCTCTAACACTGAGCCGACCGACAAAAACCCTGCAGAAATGATGTCATGTGTCCACAGGTCAAAGGTTATCGCTACCTGGAAGAAGGCAACTCAGATGAGTCAGACTCAGAGAGGAGTGAGGAGGATGACGAAAATGAAGAGGACAGAGAGCCAGAGGAGCAATTGGCGAATGAGTTTCGAGCAGAGGACATGGAGGCCGAACGCCAGGATTCTGGCGCTCAGGAAGCTGACTCACTTCGCGTCAGGAGGAAGAGGGCAGAGAATCACTAGCACAGGGTGGACGCCACCCATGCGGTGGAGGGCCAGAGAGGGTGAAGAAAACTAAATTAGGAGAAAGGGGGTGAGCAAGACGGAGAAGGAAATCGACGTTTCATCATTCTTTCAAGTCTGACGCTTTCCATAAATGACCGATGAATTTGAATATTTTTTCAAGCTATAATTAGCCTCAGAACACTGACGAGGTTTATATGCAGTCAAGAACCATTTCAAGACCAAATATTAGCAATATTCGGGTTTTGAAAGTCCATGTAACGCCCACAAAAAGCCGAACATGTTTATATTCGTCTTTTTAAAATTCGAACAAGACCCCTGGGTTACTCCTTTTCCAAACACAAACATTTGATCGCATAAACGCGTCTGGGAAAACCTCCATTGAATGGAATATTGTTTTTTTTTCCTCCACTTGCGGCCATCTTATTTTACCACTTGGTAAGCGAGCCTAAATTGAATACAGAGATTTCTCTGCGGCATTTTTACGTTATTTTCTGTCTCAAGGGCATAAATTCCACAATGTGTCCACACACACACACACACGCACACACACACACACACACCCACACACACACACACACACCCACACACACACACACACACCCACACACACACACACACACCCACACACACACACACACACCCACACACACACACACACACCCACACACACACACACACACTAATGTTCATCTGGCGCGCAACTTGCCGGAAGTCCACAAGCAGAGGTAAACGAACTCAAAGCAGCACACACTCTTGCAGCGAGGAAGAAACCGACTATTTTATTGGTGTGGTGAATGACGTGATACTGTGTTTGATGGACGTTAGAAAGTCAGAAGCGGAAATGACATCCATTTGCGTCGTGGTTTACATCGAGATATTCCAATTGACATGTATTTGGGAGTCACTCTGTCCGCCTGTGTTGTCCAGGGAAACCAAGATTTATAAAAAATTATGAGATTTATTTGAGAAAGAAAAAAAAAACATGGAGTGACACCATTCACAGATCTGTCAACGGATGCCCCGCCACCCCCCGCGTCTTGCGGAATTTTGACGCCATTTAAACGAAGTCAGTGATTCAGACGAAAGGCTTGCGGAAATTCACCAAAAGTGGAAGCTTTTGTATTTGTGGACAGACATTTTCTCCACTTTTGCGCCGACTGAAAATGTCTGTTTTGTGTTGCAATCCATTTATTTCTCGATGGAGTCCTCTTTTAAGAGCATTTAACATCACCAGGATGAGATGATGCTTTGTGGGGCTCTTCTAAAATAAGAAACGACAGATTAAGATATGCATGTGGTCATAAATATTTTTTAAAAAAAAACCCATTTTCCTTCAAATCCTTGCTCCCGTTTTTGTAGGTTGTGAGGGAACAGTCCTGCAGTTAAAAGAACTTCAATATGTGCTAACATTCATCCTGATAGTTGTGCTTTTGACGTTCATATTGTTAGTGACGCCTGAAATAATGAAAAATCAACTCGAGAGATTCAAAAATTGAAAAGATAGACACTGTACCGCACTTGGTTTTCATGTGTCACAGTCGCTCTGGATTGCTGAAATTATGATTTTGTGCTGAACTTTGTTAAATGATCAGTTCATTTTGGGGGTTCAATTGTATTTTATCATACAGTTTCAACTGTTTTGGACGTTCCCTCTTGTCAGATTTTTTATCATATTATGTGTCTCTTAGCTGCTGTTCTTCTCAGCTGTTCTTGTCCTTGTCCTTTCATGAATTTGTATTGACAGCAGTTGACCTGCTTTTTTTATAAGATTAATTTTCATTGCTGTGGTTGTTCATTATATCTGTTGTTTACAACTTTGTGGCCGATTAAAACCATTTTGAGTTTTCTTGCATGTGCTGTTGTACTTCTGCATGTTATTCAGTGCCAAGACAACACCAAGGCAACAAAATGTTTCCAACAGTCGTGAAAGCAATCAATCATTTGTTGGTATTGGGTTATAAATACAACAGCAATTCAGTTACCCCGTCAGCCTCAACATAAAGATTTCCTATTTTGGTTCAAACCCACCTGTGACCTACATGAGAACAAGTACCAATAAAAAAACAGAATACAATCGTCAGCTTAGTGAAATGAGAACGATTCAGTGACCGTAAAGATTTTAATCTGATCTTTATTAAGTCAAAGAAATCTAATAGAGGAAACACCGAAAGGAAAATTTGCCCTTAGAATATATATCTTTCAAAAATATATAGATAGAGAGCCATCCATTTTCTAATCCGCTGATCCTCACGAGGGTCGCAAGCATGCTGGAGCCTATCCCAGATGTCATTGGGCAGCAGGCATGTAAGGTAACACCCTGAACAATAGATGAACAACCATTCCTCGCTCACAATCACATCTAGAGACAACTTAGTGTTCCATTAGCCTGCCATGCTTTTTTTTTTTTAGAATGTGGGAGGAAACCGGAGTACATGGGAAAAAAAACAAAACAAAAAAAACACTCAGGCAAGGGGAGAACATGCAAACTCCACACAGGGAGGAATCGAACCCTGCACCTCTGCACTGTGAAGCAGACGTGCCAACCTGTCATCAATACACACATATGCACGTATACACACATATGCACGTATACACGCATACACATACATATATACACCGATGTATTTGTATACATACACATATATACATATACACACACATATATACAGATATACATATACACATACACAAACATAGATTAAAAACTGGAAGTTTGAAAGAGATGAGAACAAGGTTTATAAGGGAAGATATAAAATACTCGTGCTGTGTCATAGACTACTGACCCTTAGAAAGTGCTGAGCAGGCTGTTCAGCTTTGGATAACCCACACAAAAGACGCACAATACAAGGACATCGGACACTTGCTAATGTTGGATAAACCTTTGATGTGGGATGCATTGACATCAGAGGGAACGTGCGTTAGTGCCTTTCACAGGCACGCACAAAAATAAACACGCGGACAGTTTCACTTGCGGCTGTCACACTCAGAATGATTAAGTGTGGTCAAGCTAACACACAGATGCTCCACCGCGCTGCTCAGATGTTACTGTACATGACCGAAGCTCTATTACCTTTGTTGCTGATCAAGTTGAGCAGTTGAGCTTGAGCTATATTTTCTCTGTTATCATCTTGGTATTATTGATTTTGGATTGGATTCACATTGTTGTTTGCATCACATTCAAAACTATAAATGAGTATGAAGCTCTTAGAAAATGGATTATTTGCTTAATTTCCACAATTACAGCTGACATTTGGATTGGGGAATAGTAGTCTCTTGAAATATTTGCAAATTAGAGAGGAAATGTACACATTTGAAAGACTATGATTGAACCCTAATCACTGATAACATGATTATCTGAAACTGCAGCCAGATGAGCCAAAATTGATTAAACATATTGATAGCATCCTCTTGTCCTTGAGATCCTCCACGGTTCAAATTAGTTTGCCAAGCGACTTAGGCACTTCAGACAAGTATTCATATAATTTGAGACATTGTCTTGTTCACTTTAAAGCACGGATGTCAAAATCAAGGCCCGGGGGCCAGATCCAGCCCGCCCGGTCATTTCATGTGGCCCGTGAAAGCAAATCATGTGTGTGAACTTGCTAAAATCTGTCTCGAAATGTCAAATTGTCATGTGTAATAAATCACGTTGAGATTGTGCAATAATTTTGTTACTCTGTTTACACTCACTTGAACAAACTATTAGAATTGACTTGACTGATTTCAAAACTAGCAATCTATTAATTCAGGCGTGTCAAACACATTTTTGTCTTGGGCCACTTTGGTAACGTCTTCCCTCGGAGGTCCATGCTATGACACTTGAAACCACAAACACATTTTTAATCGTCTCATCACATTATTATTTGTACATAACAAATTAGTGGATTACTAGTTTTGAAATCAGTCAACTATAATTGTTTGTTCAATGATTGTTCAAGTGAGTGGAAACAGGAAAACAAAATGATTGCAAAATCTCATTTCTTATTTATTACACATGACAATTTGACATTTCGGTGCGCATTTTAGCAAGGATCATGCAAGTTGACACATGATTTGCTTTCGCGGGCCGCATAAAATTACGTGGCGGCCAGATCTGCCCCCGGGCCTTGCGTTTGACACCTGTGTATTAATTTGTTGTATAAAGTAATAATTTTGTGGTTTCACTGTCACAACTGACTTCCAATGGAAGCCGTAAACTCAAATTGGCCCGCGACTAAAATGAGTTTTACATCCCTGCTTTAAAGTTATACACATGCTGCATTTGACAAAGGACAGATTACATCAAATTTATCCACACACATCTTACGTGTAACAACTCAATTTCTGTTGAAACCCATCTTCATAGTTGTGTAACGTGTCCAAAGTTCAACTCTTTCTGGACTATTATCTTTATCATTATGTCTGGGGTCACAGGGATTGTGGTGAAACCGGACCCGCTACTCATTGTTCCAGGAGTATGGAAAGCCCCTAAGATTTTGAGCAAAGCCCAACAGTGCTTTGTCTCACATGGGCTCAGTCATCATAGCCAAGAAACACATTCATATCTTATGAAAGAGTGCAAAGGTGCCACCGGTGAAGATACGGCAATGGATTACTGTATACTGTAACTGACACACTGCATTTAGTGACAATGAGCTATACAATGAAAGGCACAAATCCAACAATGTGGAAAAATATGTCTGATTTGATGTTGACTGATCTTGTCTGTGCCTTTCCAATCTGAAAATCCTGATGCGCAAAAGGGGTGAGTTATCTCTATTTTTCCTCCCCAAATGTTGCACAGAATCATCTGTGGGTTGGTCAACTCATGCAAAGAATGTAAAGTGACGGACAAAGAAATCAAGAAACTCAGATTTTTTTCCCACAACTCAATTCTGATCGTACCTTGAGGACTGTTGGCCCCTGAGCCCCACCATAAAGGTGGGCCTGACTATCGCCAAATAGCAAGTTAAAAGGACCAAAATTAATGAAGCGAGTCAAGGTTTGGGCCAAGTGTCCTTATTTATGCATTTGCTCACCTTACAGTGTATGCCCATTTGTTTATTTGATTCGAGTCAAACTCAGACTTTGAACGAGTATGTCCTCAATTTGCGATCGTCTCAATTTACAAGCTTCCATAATTACGAATGTCAGACATTTTATTCATTTGCCTTTAGCTCCCCCGTTTTGCCCCAATAGAGACAACTGGGCCAGGTGTCCATCTCTGGTTAGGTTGGCGGCATCGCAGAGTTAGGTCCTACCTTTTAAGAGTCTCACTGTCTTTGTCTGGACATTAACTACACTTCCTCTGGGTGCCAAACCATGCTGATTACCAAGGATCCCTGAAATTGACAATATGTCTTGATTCAGGGACTGTATTTCCCCTATGGCAATGTA